CATATGGTAAAAGGTTCCTATGTTATTTTTGCATCTCCAACGGTTTTTGGATACATCTTTATAGCATCTGGCCACTCTGTCGGGTGTTCAGTGCCACCTATAAAACATTTTAAGGATGTTTTCCTTATACGCAGTTGCTCTCATTAGTTTTACCACCTTCCAGATCTTTTACCAATCATCTATATCTGTATTTTTACCCATATCCTGCATCCAGGCTATCATTGATGGTTTTACTACTTCATCTTGCATAAAGTCATTCAGTAAAAAGTTATACATTTTTTGTATCAGTTTATCAGAGAACAGGCACAACTTTTCTGAAGTGCACCTAAAGCAGTCTGTGTTTCTTTCAGGTACCTTGAAGCCTGGGTAAACATGGGTCAAATCTGACACCATATTCCCAGAAATTTATTTAGTATAAAAGGGAAAGCATAAAGAGAAGCAGGGCAAGAGAGGCAACTGAAAAAGAAGCAGTTGGTCCAGCAGAATATCACAGACACCCAAAGGGAGATCGTACACAATCTAGTCCGATATAAAGATACTCGGGGGGGGGGAGGGCTGCCTGAATGGGGAATAAAAGGGGAGAATGAAAAAAATAATTTGCCTGTCCGATTCTAGGTGGGGGGGGAGGAAACGTCAACGGGACGGGACATGGTCTTTGAGCGAGACAGAGTCCTTGCCGGGTTCTAAGTTGATCTCCAAATTGCTGTGCAACAAAGTTCTTTTAATACTTTTGGACTGTTGGACCATTGGGGTTTGAGTGTGAGAGGGTGCGGGGGGCGGGGGAGGGGCTGGCGGGGGGTGGGGGACTTGACTGAGCGCCAGAGGTTCCGGCTGTGCTTAAGAAGGCCCCCCCTCCCGGTTGTCCCCCCTCCCGGTTGTCCCCCCTCCCGGTTGTCCCCCCTCCCGGTTGTCCCCCCTCCCGGTTGTCCCCCCTCCCGGTTGTCCCCCCTCCCGGTTGTCCCCCCTCCAGCCTCTAATGGTTGGGGGCCCCTGAAGGAAGGCCTCCAAAGGTGACCGAAGTGGACAGGTAGGTTCGTAGGGCTGTGCTGGCCCCATGTCATCTAGGGCTTCTTTGGAGGTCAGCACCAGTGCCTTGTATTGAACCCGGAAGCTAACTGGGCATCAGTGCAGGTGGAATGAGGCTGAAGAGATACAATTCCTGTGACCCACCCCAGCCAGCATTTTTGCTGCAGCATCCTGTGCCAGCCGTAGCACCCAGACACCCTTCGGGGCAGTCCCATGCAGAGCTCCTTGCAGCAGGCTAGTCTAGGTACGACGAGGCCTTGCACTCCCACGGCCAGATTGTTTTCTGCCCTCGAAGGAGAACCTGGGGAAAGGGGTGTTTCTGGCAGCTGCTGCTGCCGCCTGCTTGTCCAACAGGAGGCCACGGTCAGGCACCACCTTCAGGCTACCCGCCTGCTCCTCTGGGGAGAGACTGCAAGCCCACCCAGAGCGGGAGTCATCTCAGTCCCTGGGCCAGTCCTTCCGGCCACCAGTAACACCTCTGTCTTGTGAAGACCAAGCTTCAGTTTGCTGGCTTCATCCATCCCAGAAATGCCTCCGGGCACTGAGTCAAGAGGCTCCCACCGTCTCTCAGGAACCCACTGGAAGCATGAAGTAGAGCCAGGGGTCATCTGCATGTCGGTGAGAAGAACCCAACCCAGAAGACCTTCAGCCGATTTCACCCAGCCAGGTTGGGAAGGATTGGAAAGCTCTGCGGTCATGGTTGGGACCTGCCAGTTCCAGCAGCAGCTCCCCAAAGAGAGTGGGATACCTCCAGACGTGCCCTATATTACAGTTTAAGCAAAACACACACGAAAAAGTTTTTTCCTCTAAAGAAACCGGACTACGACAGTTTTCATAAATGATTTGCGATAGTGTCCATTTTGCTTTGCTTTGATTCTGTCTTGTGATTCAAATGGGAGATGTGTTGAATTTTTAGCAGATCTCAGTTCCACCCCTTCTTATCCAGAACAAAATATGCTTAATATTTGGCTGTTGCCCCTTCAGCAAAAGCCCTCTTTGCTTAGAGCTTAGGAGACCCGAGTTTTAAATCTGTCTCTCAATGAATATCTTTACACAGCTCCCTTGCAATAAGTTAGCAGCAGCAGTCAGCTTTTCGGCAAATGTCATCAGCCCCCCGCCCACAGGATCGGGGCCACAAGCAAACCTGGAGTGAAGGGCCTCTGTAGAAGGCTCATTGTGATAAATACGTGTGTGTGTGTGTGTGTGCACGCACGAGGAGCACTGGGAAGCAACCTGTAAACTTTGCCCGTATGAGGAATGTCTGAGGCGGAGAAGGATTCTGCACAGGATTGTTGCCCAGCTTACACAATGAAGGAAAAAGAAACTATTTTGATTTTGTGTTACAAACTTTTGCTTTTAATCGCCGTGTGTGCGTGTGCTGAGCATTGGGGGTTCTGCATCACCAAACCCCAGAATGAATAGGAACCATAATTTTTTCCAGCGTTCCTTCATGGATGTGATATCGCTACTTTTAATAGGTTTATTTGTCCCCAGGGATTAAATGAATGCTGTAGTAGCCTGAAGTTTGAGGTGGTATTGGTTAAAATTGTCAGAACTATTTGTCATGGTTTCTGATCTCCCTTCACTTTCCATTCTAGATGGTTTCTGAAATCAAACACGGACCCTGCTGATTTTGCTGGGAAATCCCAACGGGTCGATCCCCATCAAGTCGGTGAGTGCGGCTAGAGCAGAATCCCGGCTGCACTTTGCTGGGTCAGAACCTCAGCTCCGTGGGGTTGCTCCACAAACCGCATATATCAAGGCTAAAGGTCCTTTCAGCCTGTGGAGTGAATACCTCCCCCAGAGAAATCCTCGCCTAAAGCATGTGAAGTGGCTCCACGACCTGTGTTTCAACTTGCTAAGAAAGGCCATGGGGCAGTTTTATGTATTAGATCTTTATACCATCCGTCCGTCCTTCAAGGAGCCTGGGACGGCACACATCGTGGCAATGACTTGGGAGGTGGGCTGTCCAGAAAGCTTCTAGACTGGTTTGATTTGAACCTGAGTCTCCTCGATGGGGGTCTCTAACCCAGAGGTGTCGAACTCATTTGCTATGAGGGCCGGATCTAACATAAATGTCACTTTGCCCGGCTGGGCAATGTGTGCCGTAACACATAATGCCAGGGACCAGAGATATAAACTGTATCAAGGACAGCAGCTGGTATGCTCCGAGTTGCTGTATCCTCACAGCAAGGCCCCACATGGGCAGACTGGAGAGCCAGCGGTGCAGCAGCAATGGGCAGACTCTCCCACACTGCTTGACTGCTGCAGGTGAGGTTGTTCCACCAGGCTGAAGCTGCAGTCGGAGTGGCTCCGCCCACTCCCCCCCCCAGTAGTCTCCTGTCCCCCCCCCTGCACTAGTTGCTCGTGGGACACATAAGAGCCCTGGATGGGCCGGTTCCAGCCCCCGGCATTATGTTTGACACCCCCCTGCTCTAACCACGAAACAACTGCCTTTCTGTGCCATTTTACCTTTTGGCTTGTGAATGGCCATTAGTAAGCTAAGTGCAACAATGGTAAAGTGACAGAAACGATACAGATGATCCTGCTTTGCTCTGCGCCACGTCCTCTCCAGTGCCGGGTTTCCTTTCTTCCTTTTTGGGTGGTGCCTTTGTTCTGAAGCTGTGGGTCTCCCCCGGGAGGTCCGCTCTGCCACTGCTACATGATGGCTTGTGCTGGGCAATACAGTTTGTGATTTTATTTTCATACATTAATGCACCACCTTGGGGAAGAATAAAGGAAGTGTGACACCTGAATTTTTTGGAAGACAAAGAGAAGGAAAAATACCAGTCACAAGTCAGTATCAAAAGTGTAGCTGGCATAAAACAGTATGGTAATTTCTCTCCTAACTGCTTTTGGTTTTTTGTGTCTGCTAACCTTTTGGCATTGCCCACAATAGCAGGGTGGCCATTTGGTGTACACTGTTCTCCACAGAATTGCTACAATGTGGAAATCCCTTTCCTGCAGGCCTTATGTGGGTCTGTGTGTGGTTAGACCTTTTGCCTCTTTTCCTCCACAGAGTACTGTGTGCATCAGGTCATAGCCGTGTGTCCCAAAACAGCTGCAGGGGTGGGCTTTTGAGCAAGCCATTGATATCTGTCTGTCACACTGCAGAAGGCAGGCGTGCAGTCGGCATGTTCACTGGAAAGCTGGTGGAGAAGAGCTTTGGAAGGAAGGAAGGCATTTCCATGACAGAATCAGGGCCGGCGTGGAACCTAGCCTGTGGGTGTTCAGAGGCTCCCTCCCCTGCAGAATGGAGATGCTTGCATTTATCAGTCAGAAGTGTGTGTGTGTGGGGGGGGAGTTGCGTGCACACCAGGACTCAGGGACCCCCCAGGGGCAAGGCAGGAATATTTCAGTCCATGTCTTCTGCTCCCCTTATGGATCAGATCAAGAGGCTGTACTTGGTTTCTGGAAGGAAGCACCCCAGACCTGCTTAGATTTATGCTTTCTGGGGGAGGGCTGCTCTGCTTGAATCTTGCTGTGGGAATGTGGATAAATGCATCTTTTCTTTGGAGGTTTGAACGGAGCAAAACCCTCACCTTGAGTTTTAAAATGTTTTTGTCTCTGGGCAGAGAGGAGGCGAGAGGGGGAAGTCAGTTCAATTATTCTCCCACCTCACCTCAGCCATCCTTTTAGAAATACTAATAGGTCTGTCTAGAAACAATGGGATGGTCCAGCTCTCCCCCCCACACACACACCTGCATCTGTACAGGTGATATCTAGCAGGGAACAGAAATCTGGAGGACTTAAATGCAAGAAAGACTTCAGGAAAAATCTCCTGGAGGTTTCAGGAAAAGGTTCTTTGACCTGGCCTGACCTGGTCAGTGGGAGGAGAAGGAGAGATGATAGAACTCGCGGAGCAAGGCAGTTGGTCTCTCTTTTGTGCTGATTCCATCGAGGCAGATAGACAATGCTTGTCTGAGGTCTGTAGGAGGCCTCCATTGCCCTGTGCTGGCCTGCACATCTTGGGAGAGGTTTCAAGGTAAGGGAAACCCCGTAGAACATCTGTAAATTTCTAAGCTGAGGAGCCTGTCTTATGTTTAACATCTGCTTGGGCTTGTTTAGAGGGAGGGACAGAGGAGTTGCGTTTTACCCTTTTCTTTTGAATCCCTTGCTAAGTCTGGTGCTGTGCTGAGGATTGGCTTGTGAACATTTTCTTATTTAATAAATACTTTATGAATTTTGATACTGGTAGTGGTTCTCTGTACCACATTAGATTGAGAGCCAGTTTGGTGTAGTGATAAGGAGCGCAGACCCTAATCTGGGATAACTGGGTTTGATTCCCCACCCCTCCATATGCAGCTGCTGGGGTGACCTTGGATCAGTGACAAGTTCTCTCAGAGCTGTTCTTTCAAGGGCAGTTCTCGAGAGAGCTCTCTCGGGCCCCACCTACCTCACAGGGTGTCTGTCATGGGAAGGGGAAGGCGTTTGTAAGCCGCTCTGAGACTCCTTTGGATAGTGAAGGGCCATGGGGTATAAATCCAACCTCTTCTTCTTTTTCTATCACTCAGCAGCAGCAAGGGAGGGCAGTCAGTTGGCGAGCAGCTACTCCCTCACTGGTGCCCTGAGTAATTTGTCCACATGGCAACTGGACACTGGATAGCAGGAGATATGGAGGCGAGGCCTCAGGACAGGGCAAGGAAGCCGGGAGCCCTGGCCCATTCAGTGGGCCATTCGTATGAGGGCCAGGTGGTGGCGGCCGTTGAACAGAGAGAGAGAAACCAGGCGGGCGGCACGTGCCAGGCAAAGGCCTTGGGCCACCCCTGGGGCCCAGACGTCTTGGAAGGTGCGGTGGAAGAGGGCCTGTGGGTCAGGGCAGGACTATCCCGCCACAGCGAGTATAGGGGATGATACTTAATTTGGAGAGAATTGTCTTTCTTCTTCTTTATTACTGGGTTACACATCCCACCCTGGTGTAGGAGCCTCCAGAGTGGATCCTTGTTTGCTCGCATGCGGAGTCCTTTGGCGTGGTAGAGAGTGGCTGTGCTATTTTATGGCACATCAAACAGAGTCCTTCTGCCCATGCTACCTTGAACAACCCACTGTCTCTTCTTTGTTCCGGGTTTCAGTAGTCACTTCTTTGTTTTTGTAGTTTCACAGTCCGATACGGGTCACTTGTTCAGCTCAACAGATGCTAAGGAAAGGAGGTGTCTGTTACACCAGTGCTCATGTCATTGACCCTTTATTGGCTTGCTGTCATAAGTTAAAGGTCCTTGTGCTGACATCATCTATTTCCTGTATTTTCCAGGTCCTGATGTGGCTGTGGGATCTTCAGTAGCAATTACTGGCCATGCAAGCACTGTGCCAGAGGAAATTGGCTTCCAGGAAGGAGACAGAATTGAAATTATTGGCTACTTCGTGAAAAGCATGCAGTGGTTTGTGGGAAGACTGGTGCCTACGGGCCAGATTGGTTTTGTGCCAAGCACTCATGTCAAACCGGACACCTTCGAGGGGTGAGTGTCCAAGGGGGCAGCCTGGCAAGACAGGCAGATCCAGCGAGGGGCAGTTCAGTGCTGAGAAAGTCCCTCGAGGACTGTGGTGCGGGAGGCCGTGGACCAAAATCTCCCTTCCAAAAGTTTCTGCTGCCATTTGTAGTACCTCTTCTGAACTGGTCAGTTAAGTGCTGTGGTCGCTGGGAAGATTACTCGTAAAAGACAGAAGACAGAACAACAAGTGATGGCAAAGCTTAGAACTCAAAACCCACCAGCAGGATGTGGTTGTGGAGAATGTATTTATCTCCTTTATAGCCCATCTTTCTCCCCGGGACTCAAGGCAGATGATAAAACCTGCAGTCAGCATGCATAAGACATAAACCATAGGACTGGGATTGCAAAATCAGAAGACGACTAACCGTCTAAAGACATGGCATCCCATAAACACTGTGGATAAGGGCTTCCAAAAGAAGAAGAAGAGGTGGCAGAAGCAAGGGAATGTGTGCATTCAGCAGGCTGCAGTCCTCCTGCCCCGCCCCCTTCTATGGCAGCCCCATCTCTTTCACTCAGCTGCTCCCCTGGACACCTTGCTTTTACGTGCTCCGCAGAATGCCAGCGTTGTGGGTGCCTCCCTGACTCCCTGTGGCAGGCTGTTCTGCCAGGGGGGGGGGGGGGGGGGGGGCTGCCACAGAGAAAGCAGGAGCGCGGCGGCCATCAGTCGGGCCCTGTTGCTGGGTGGCACCTGCAGGAGGCCCAGCTTAGAGGAGCTGTTGTGGCGGGGCAGAGCAGCAGGGGCAGCCTTGCCGGTGGGTGGGTGGGCCTTGAAGGGAGGACCTTGGACTGGACCCAGCAGAGTGTTCTCAGAGTGTTTTTCCAAGGAAAGGCACTGAATTACATGAGTCCTTGCTGAGGGCAGTAGCAAAAAATATAACTCCGCTGTGGGTCCCTACGTGCTGCTTTGTACTGAATCTGGCCTTTGCTCTGTCAGAGTCAGGGCGGTCTGCTCAGACTGGCAGAGGTTCTTCCCGTCATCTGCTCGGTCCCTTAACTGGAGATGTTGGGGATTGTACTTGGGACCTTCTGCGTGCCAAGCAGACGCTCCACCACTGAGCCACGGCCTCTTCAAGTAGCCGTGTTTTAACGACTGTCTTTCCAGTTCGTTCAGTAGAAAGGATACAACAAAGGGCCCTCTTGAATTCTTCTCCATGTTGCTGGAGGGGACGTTTTCCGGCGCCCTGCTGGCCCTCCTGGTGCATGACCTCATGGGCACCGTGAGTGCAGTCAGGTGTTGCCAACCTGATAAAGTGCCCGGTATTCCCGGGACTGGCAATATCCCGTGTTATTTGTTTATTTATTTATTTATTTCAGCTTACTACCCCGCTCTAACCCCCTAAGGGGGTTACTCGTTTATCCCTAACCTATGGCCATAATTATTGGGGGTGGGGACAATCCCTACCGGCACCTAGTGGAGGGGTTTTTCTCCCAGGTCGGCTATGTCGACTTTCGGCGTCACTCGGCTTCTGGCTCCTTTCTGGTGGGCTTTCAGTGGCGGATCGGGCGGTTATGATATTGATCCCATGGCCTGGGGATCAGAGGCCTTCCTGCTACCCTGGAAACGGCCCCAGTGTCTATGGGCAGTAGACCTGGCCTCTGGACGGAATCGCAGGCATCGCAAAATGTACTAACGCTGAGCAACAGTGAGGGACGAGAGACGTCCTGACTCCTCCATGTGTCGTGTGCTCCTCTCAGATCACCGTGGCGGACTTTCTCTGAAGTCGAGCCTCCTTTCCCCCTGAAAGAACAGGCCCTTTCAGAAGAGGATGTGATAAAACTCTTGAAACAAACATCACACGAAGACATCTGTCATGTGTACCAAATAGGTAAGCAGCTCTGACATTCCAGTTGCCTCTGTTTGTCTTGTGCATCTTCACCCTGCCCTCCTCCTGAAGGGCCTCCGTGAGGCACTGGAGGTCGTTCTCTCCTCCGCCGTGTCCTCCGAACACCACTGTGAGGGAGCGGCAAGCTGAGAGAGCGGGGGGGGGCTGGGGGGCACCCTAGCTGGACTGGGCCGGCAGGGCGTCCCCATAGGCACACCCTTGAGTTCCGTGCTGTCGAAAAGTGACCTGTGGGAGGCCCAGCTAGGCCACTTTAAATCCCGTAGAATTTAGAGGGCCCCGCCTGCACTCACCCGCAGCTCCAATAATTTATGTCCGTCCGAATATGGCATAATCTACACTGAACAGAGGATTAAGAACATAAGAGAAGCCAATGTTGGATCAGGGCAATGGCCCATCCAGTTCAACACTCTTGTGTCACACAGGGGCCAAAAATGCCAGGTGCCCTCAGGAGGTCCAGCAGTGGGGCCAGGACACTAGAAGCCCCCCCACTGTTGCCCCCCCAAGCACTGAGAATATAGAGCATCACCCTTGTGGCTAATAGCCGCCGATGGACCTCTGCATTCGTAGAATAATCTCGTCCCAAAAGGTTTCTGACAGTTGCCAGTCCTCTCCGATTTGTGCTAAAAAAGCCATTTCGCATTTAAGCCGAGACTCTTGTAAACAATTGTCTCTGTGGAATTATGCCATTAAGAGTGCCAGCTTCATCGCCATTTTACATCCAGACCCCATAAATCAAGTAAGTCACTGTTCTTCAATATTTAAGGTGTTTTCCAAATAGCAGATAGGAGATTTCATATATTACTCTGCCCCTTTGTATTTATATTGACATTGACACCCCGGGGCTCTGCTTTGCCGCTTATCATAGGAATGCATGAGGGAAGATTCCTCAGCACCTCCTTTAGCTTCTCGGGAAGATTTATAGGGGCAAATAAAAGTTGTTTTCCAAGCTTGAAAGTTGTCAAGAAAAAGAAAGTACAAGTTCATTGCCTAGATGGTATGACGAGGCATGAAGGCTCTTTGTAAAGGGGTAACACAGCTTGTCAGTCGTGCTATCACGGCTGGTCTTCGGTGCTTCCTGCGTTAGGACAATTCTGACTCCACACCCGTTGTTGCCACAAACGGGGGGCTCAGATATAAAAGTCCTCTGCAATCAGTTCGTACTCCCGACGAACCGATGGGACCAAGGAGAACCAAATGGACCCCTAAAAAAGCTCCAGAAGTTGGTGAGTCTCAGAACCCTGAGAAAACTCCACCATGTTGCTGCACTGTTGCCCCGCCTCCTTCTTTGTTTTCATTTTGATTAGAGAAGCTAATTTGCTGTAGTGGTTAAGAGCCAGTTTGTTGTAGTGGTTAAGAGTGGCAAACTCTAATCTAGAGAACCGGGTTTGATTCCCCACTCCTCTACTTGCAGCTGTTGGGGTGACCTTGGGTCAGTCACAGTTCTTTCAGAGCCGTTCTCTCAAGGGCAGTTCTCTCAGAGCTCTCTCGGCCCCACCTGCCTCACAGGGTGTCTGTTGGGGGGAGAGGAAGGGAAGGTGATTGTGAGCCACTCTGAGACTCTGAGTGAAGGGCGGGGTATAAATCCAGCTCTTCTCCTTCTTCTAAAAGCCCTGCACCTGTGAGCGGGTGTGTGTGTCTGTGACCCCCCCGCTCGTGGTGCCTCTGACAGTCCCCTGTCCCCAAGGAGCAGCATTTGGGGCCTCATCTCAGGCTGCAGGCTGGCCAGGTGTCCCTCCAGGCACAGAGTTTAGAGGCAACCCCGTATTCACCCATTCCAGAATCCCTCAAATATCAGTTTATTATTTATGAATTTTATTTCATTCCATTTTTATTCCCCCCTCCCCGCGAACAGGCTCAGGGCGGCTCACATTCATTGGCACAGAGTCCCTTATACTGCCCTTTATGCAGGCTTCAGGCACAGCTGCCCTGGCTGATCAGCTGGTTGGATCCTGCACAGGAAGGCCAAGAGCGTGGGGCTGGAGAAGAGCCCCCCCCCCGCCAAGTGAGCCTGGTGCCTCAGGGGCCCGCCTGCCGCAGGGGCCATGGCGTCCAGCCGCCTGGTGAGAGCTACCAAGTAGTGACAAGCGTGCAGCTGCTCTGGTCCTGCAGAAGAGAGGAGGGAAATAGCCCCCTGTTTTGTAGGTGGGCTTGACCTTCTAGCCTCCCAAAGATGGTACACTGGCAGTAATCACCCTTCTTTAAAGGGTGGAGAATGGCTGTATCACCAGGTACTGGGTAGGGGGACTGCAATCTTTTCAAAGTCCAGCGGGTATCAGGGGCCCGCCTGCCGCAGGGGCCATGCCGTCCAGACGCCTGGTGAGAGCTAGCAAGTAGTGACAAGCGCACAGCTACTCTGGTCCTGCAGAAGAGAGGAGGAAAATAGCCCCCCGTTTTGTAGGTGGACTTGACCTTCTAGCCTCCCAAAGATGGTAAACTGGCAGTAATAATCCTTCTTTAAAGGGTGAAGAATGGCTGTATCACCATGTACCGGGTAGGGAGACTGCAATCTTTTCAAAGTCCAGCGGGTGTCGCCATTCCCCAGATGTTGACAAATACTATCCGAATAAAAGATCTCCGGGGAAAATTGGCACCAAACAGTGTCTACCTGTACGGAAGTGAACGTCTCTTGCGCAGAGAGGCGCCCAGACCATGTAGCTCCATTCCGAAGGCTGTTTGCAAGAAGTTCGTAATACTTCTTCTAAAGCAGCTAGATCCGAGTCCAGGAGCACCTCTGAGACTGGCAAGAGTTTTGGGGGTAGAAGCTTCCGAGAGCCGGAGCCCCCTTTGTGACCGAGAGAGCCCCTGCCTGGGACTCTCCAGAGCTTAGCCCCACCACCACCACCGATCTCGTTGGCCTCTGAGGGGCCCCCGGGCTTGGATCTTGCGGTTCTGCTCTGCTGCAGAACGACATGGGGGCCCTCTGGGAGGAACTTCTTGGATGGAGGAGCCGGAGGCAACCTGTTTGTCTTTGCTTTGAAGCTCTCTCCTCAAGGATCTACCACAGAGGAAGGTCAGATCGGGGCCGCCAGCAGCAGAGACCGATCTGAGGGGCCCTGCCCCCTTGGAGGTTTCAGGCCTCCCCCTGCATCTGCAGCATATGCTCCCAGGGGGCCTCGTGGCTCTGCTGGTGGAGGCCGACGGGTGAGCGTGTGGTCAAGCGGCTTCTCCCCAGTGGCCGGCTGGGAAGTCCACGCTTTCAGCTGGCTGGGGGGGGGGGCGCATGGGCAGATGAGGCCCTCAGACGCCCTCATCTGTAACACGGTTGCTGGAATGTCAGCTGGCCCAGCTGCCCGTCGCTCTGCGGTGGTGCCCCCCTCCCCTCCCAGTGTTGCAAGGTCTCCGGCTGCTGGCCTGGGCTCGAGGCGCTCTCCGTGGCTCCCGGAAAGGGACCTGTGGCCTGGCTGTTGCTGCTCCTGTTGCAAACGGAGGCTCCGGCCACCTCTGCACAGCAGCTTACAAAGGAATTTACAGCCTACACTTTGTCCACCAGGAAAAATGAAAACTCCTCAGTAATCTTTCCTACTAAGACTGTGGTGAGGACCGTACAACTGCTGACCCACAACAAAATGCGGCACACGCTTCACCTCGCCGTCACCTCCTTGTCACCCCACGTTGGGAGGTGGGCAGGGCACACTCTCTCTGCAGAGCAGGCGGCTGTTCCTCTAGCCTGGCGTCTTTGTAGCGAGTGGGCCCAGCGAGCAAGCATCCTGTGCTTGATGGCAGCGGTCGTTCATGAGGCACACCTCGAATCTCCTCTCCTTGCCAATATCTGACTCTCTCGCAGTCACGGAACAACTTCTGCAGTTGTGCAGCAGCTGTTGTGTTTTGAGCTTCATTGCCTCCTGCGAGGTGTGAGGGAGAAGGAGCAGATTCAAAACAGCCCACAGGGCACTATTGCTGGCCCCCACCTCTGGGGCAGAATGTCTGGCCTTTAAAGTTCAAAGAGCTCTGTTGATGGCTTCAAGGGTCACCGGATGCTCCTTGAAGTCCCCAGATTCTGAAATCCAGCTGACCAGTGCTGTGGCCTGGAGTGCTTGTTGGCTGGAACGCTGGATGTAAAGAAATGCAGGTCCTGACTTGTCTGGTGATTGAATTCTGTGGGCATCAAATGGCATCAAGCAAGTCTGGTCCTGTAATTCCACAGGCTCTCCAGGAATTTGAATTCAGTGGGATCGAAAAGGCAGCATGGTGGTTTGGTGAGATGAACTACTGATCGGGAAACTGAAAGAGCAACTCCAGAATGAAATCTGATCTGAAGGCCAAAGCTTTTGGGGATGCAGAGGGAATCGTGGTTGCTTTGTTCCAAGCACACCTGTCCAGAAGGGAAGTTTATGTCCTTCCTCTAAAAATATATATACAAAGTTAAGATTCAGGGTTGTGCCTAAATCAAGAAATCTTTTCTATGATAATTTCCATTTCATTGCAAAGAAGTTTGGCTGCTGTTGCTGCTGTAGTTCTGTTGTAAAGAACTCTGCAGTTGTAACCCTTTAGTCCTTTGTTGTTGTTGTTCAGTCCCACAGTCGAGTCCGACTCTTCGCGACCCCATGGACCAGATCACACTAGGCCTTCCTGTCTTCCGCCGTCCTCTGAAGTTTGCTCAATTTCATGTTCGTTGCATCTATGACACTGTCTAACCATCTCATCCTTTGTCGTCCCCGTCTTCTTTGACCTTCAATCTTTCCCAGCATCAGGGTCTTCTACAGTGAGTGCTCCCTTCTCATTGGGTGGCCAAAGTATTTGAGCTTCAGTTTCATTATCTGGCCTTCCAGGGAACAGTCAGGGTTGAGGAAGGCCTCCTTATCTCTCCTTGCTGTTCTCTGGAAATCTGCGTTCAGTTGGGTAAATCTTTCCTTTTCGCCTTTGCCTTTCGCTTTCCTTCTTTCCTCTGCTATTTGTAAAGCCTCATCAGAAAGCCATTTTGCTTTCTTGCATTTCTTTTTCTTTGGTATGGTGGTGATTGCTGCCTCCTGTACGATGTCACGAACCTCTGTCCATAGTTCTTCAGGCACTCTATCTATCAAATCCAGACCCTTGAATCTATTCTTCACCTCTACTGTATATTCATCAGGGATGCGATCTAGGTCAAACCTGAATGGCCTCGTGGTTTTCCCAATTTTCTTCAGTTTAAGTCTGAATTTTGCAATGAGTAGCTCATGATCTGAACCACAGTCAGCTCCAGGTCTTGTTTTTACTGACTGGATAGAGCTTCTCCATCTTTGACTGCAAATTATATAGTCAATCTGATTTCGGTGTTGCCCATCTGGTGATGTCCATGTGTAGAGTCGTCTCTTAGGTTGTTGGAAAAGGGTGTTCGCTATGACCAGTGTGTTCTCTTGACAAAACTCTGTTAACCTTTGCCCTGCTTCATTTTGCTTTCCAAGGCCAAACTTGTCTGTTATTCCAGTTACCTTTTGACTTCCTACTTTAGCATTCCAGTCCCCTATGATGATGAGGACATCATTTTTTGGTGTTAGTTCTAGGAGGTGTTGTAGGTCTTCATAGAACCGGTCCACTTCAGCCTCTTCTGCATCAGTGGTTGGGGCATAGACTTGGATTACTGTGATGTTGAATGGTTTGCCTTGGAATCGGACAGAAATCATTCTGTCATTTTTGAGATTGTATCCCAGTACTGCCTTTTGCACTCTCTTGTTGACTATAAAGGCCACACCATTTTTTCTACGAGATTCCTGGCCACAGTAGTAGATATAATGGTCTTCTGAGTTAAATTCGCCCATTCCTGTCCACTTTAGTTCACTGATTCCTAGGATATCGATGTTCAGTCTTGCCATCTCATTTTTGACCACGTCAAGCTTACCTTGATTCATAGATCTTACATTCCAGGTTCCTATGCAGTATTGTTCTTTGCAGCATCGGACTTTCCTTTCACCATCGGACACCTCCACAACTGAGCGTCCTTTTGGCTTTGGCCCAGCCGCCTCACTCTTTCTGGGGTTACTTGTACTTGCCCTCTGCTCTTCCCCAGTAGCATATTGGACACCTTCCCACCTGAGGGGCTCATCTTCTGGCGTCATATCTTTTAGCCTTTTGCTACTGTCCATGGCGTTTTCTTGGCAAGATACTGGAGTGGGTTGCCATTTCCTTCTCCAGTGGATCACATTTGGTCTGAGTTCTCTGCTGTGGCCTGTCCATCCTGGGTGGCCCTCCACGGTATAGACCACAGCCTCATCGATCCACGCAACCCCCCTCGCCACGTCAAGGCAGTGATCCATTTAGTCCTTACCATATTCCAAACTCCTGTGTTGTCTCGAGTAGGCAGAGCCCCTCTTTTCGATCAACTCAAAGTTCTGCTTGCAGGAAGAATTGGCAGCGCTTGGAACGGTGGCTGGGTGACTGCTGACCGGCCCCTGAATTCTTGCTTCCTGTGGTCCCAGGGCCCAGACTTGGGAAAGCGGAAATGGGATCCTCGGCTGCTGGGCCCTGTGCTCTCGGCAGCCGGCCTCCCTCCCCTCTCCCTGTTCTGGCCCTGCACAGCCAGGACCCCGATGGATTGGTTTTCCTTACCCGTGTTGAGTATTACTTTGGAAGAGCACAACTCTGAGCCGAGGAATTTGGAATGAAAAGGACCTGGGCTTCCTTAGGTGCAGGAGGCGTGACACCTCATAAAATATAAGCTCACCCCACCCCGGTCACGGAAAAGAAATGCTTCTGGCGAAGGAGAACTCGTGTCTAGTGGGGAGAACAGCCTAGTTTTTTAATCAGTTTTTTTCCCCTTTTGTGCGGAAATGAATTTGGGGAGGGGGCAGCCATGGCAAAGCATTGCACTAATGCGGGTGCCTGGATTATCCCCAAATCTAGATAGAGTCCTTGTTTTTCCTGTTAACGAACACCCCCCAGATTAGGTAAGGGACAAAGGGAGAAACCTCACATGCGTCAGTCGCTCGCTGTGAAAAATTTCATGTGCTTGGAAATGTGACGTGCAACAGACGTGGTGGTGGTGAACGGGATGGGGGGGCCACAAGAAGGCGGTGCAAGAACCAAGGAAAATGAGCAGGAGGGGGCTGCGGAGGGCTCGTGAGCAGTTTGCTGACTGCAGCTCACAGGGAGCTTGAAAACTGAACCGTGAACCTCAGAAGAGCCCTGCTGGGTCAGACCAGGGAGGGTCCACCTAGTCCAGCATCTCCCGTCTCACACAGCGGCCAACCAGTCCCTCTGGAATGGATGGCCGACAACAGGGCATGGAGGCTGAGGCCTTCCCGTAATGTTGCCTCCTGGCTCTGGGATTCATTGGTTGACTGCCTCTGAATGTGGAGGTTCCTCTCAGCCACCATGGCTAGTAGCCATTAACAAACTGATCCTCCATGAGTCTATCTAATCCCCTTTTAAAGCTGTTCATTCCTGTGGCCATCACTTCATCCTCTGGCAGCAAGTTCCACATTTTAATCATTCTTTGTGTAAAGTAGTATTTCCTTTTGTCCATCCTGAACCTCCTGCCCATCAGCTTCATTGGATGCCCTCAAGTGCCAGTCTTTTGGGGGAGGGAGAAGAATGTCTCTTTGTCAGCCTTCTCCACTCCAGGCATTGGCATTTAGACTCCTCTAATGTGTTTCCCCCTCCAGTAACGCTCTCCTCCCTCAGCCCCTTAGTTATTATGCTCCTACCAATATTACCCTGCGTGTTTGCAGAGTCCTCCCTTTGGACTGACTTGTCCTGAACTGGGGGCTCCCCAGCTCCTGTTGGCTCCCCCCCCCCCCCCTTAAAAGCTGCTCTGACACCTTTTTGATATTAGTTGCCAGCAGCCTGGTTTCCTTTTTGGTTCAAGTGAAGCCTGACTCTTTTGTACAGGTTCACCTTGTCCCAGAAAGTTCCCCAGTGCCTAACAAATCTAAACCATTTCTCATCCATCCATGCACTGAGACCCCTGGTCCTGCACGTGGAACTGGCGCAGCACTTCCGAGAATTCTGCCTTTGAGGTCCTGGCCTTTAACTTTCTGCCTACTGACCCGCGTTTCCCCTCCAGGACCAGAGGACTACATTTCCCAATGTCATGGGTGCCAACACGCACCATGACTGCTGCTGACTCCGCCCCAGCACTATCTATCCACCTGTCTAGACAGCAGGCAGGCAAGTCACCAAGCAGTCAAAACGCCTGTCGCAGGCCCCACTCTCTGTATTCCGAATGACTGAATCACCCACTACCAGAAGCCCACCTGCCCCCAGCCCCCTAGGGGTATCCTTGGTCCAAGAGGATATTGGTCCATCACCCAAGAAAGAGGTCCCTTCTAAGGGATCACATCCCTCCTCCTCTTCCTCTTCCGACTGACGCCCTCTGACCTTGAGGCTCTTCACTCTCCACAGCAGCAGAAGAGCTGTCAGCAGAGGAGTGGGACTGTTCTGGTAAGTCCCCGAGGGCCTCTTCCCCAGATCTCTCTTGCTCTCTGCCTCAGCTTCTTCAGGTCGGGAACTCTAGGCTCAAGGGAACAAACCCTGCTCCCTGAGAGCCACGCGCTCCATGCAGCAGGCACACACCCACAATTTCCGCCCAGTTTCGCACTCTCTGCAAAACACTGGACAGCCCCCACTCCCCTGCCGGCTTTCCACCTTCGTAACTACTTAGTGGTTTAAAGGTGTCTAGATTGATGGAGGGTCCGTCCCCAGGCCTGATCCCTAGGCTCAGAGCCACAGGCCTCGGAGGAGCCTTACAATCAGAGGCCCACAGAGGGTGGGGCTTGCAGTCAGCCCCAGGCCAACTGACCTTGCTGAATGAGCAACCAGACAAAAACACCTTTCCCCAGAAGGCTACAAGGACCCACTCACCCTCAGTCTCTGCCCTCTCACCAAGCAACCTCTGTTAATGTTCCCCGGTAATTTAGCAGTTTAGGAAAGGTAAGAAACGCCTTCCCAGCAGCTCTCTTCTGGGTTCTGTCTCCCAGGCCAGCTGGCTCAGTTCTGTGGCTGTGCAAGCAGGTGGTGGGTGCTGAAGTATGCTTGGGTAGCACGGGATGGACGGCTTGTCTCTGGGCACATGCAGAGCAAAGGCCCTTGACTTGTTACCTGACCAAAGTAAGTTGAATGAAAGGTATTACTTTTGCATGATAGAGTTGGTACGGTCCATTCTCTGCAAAATTTTGTTTGCCATAGTTCAAGCATGTGACTCATATATGCTTGAAATGTGTTTATTTTATCAGATGGACAAGAAGATACCGAATTTGAACAATCCGTGAAGCAAGGTAAAACTTATCCTGTGTGTGTGTTTAAACATTTTTTTCAGTGAAGAGAATGCATATTAAAAACTTCCTGTAGTTTTCCTGTTTTTCTTGAAAGCTATTTTTGTCCTTCACTGAACAAGAGCTGCTTTGGGTCTACTTTAACTTTATTCTGTCTTAGAGTTTGATCAGTTGTTGCTGTGCAAACTTGATCAGTATGGGAGAAACCCTCAGGCTTATGTGTGCCGCTTGGTCTGTGTGCCTGGGAAAGGCAGGGTGGAGAAAAGGGGCCCTCCATTTTGTGCTGGGTTCCCCAAATGACTTCTGACCGGGCCCTGAGACTTAGAGCATCGATGTGAAAGTATCTCTCCTGGTCAGTGAACATGTGGTCAGATGTTCGACTGGAATTCTGTGTTGGGAACTTGGTTCCCAGATGCATGCAGGCCTGGTTTGGATTGGGGCCATGGCGTGTGAGGAGGAGGGGCTTCCTCTTGCTCCCCAGGGCCATTTTACCCACCTGAAATGGCCCAACAGGCATTATTTACCCCATTCGAGATGCCTCTTGTGTAGCCATTGAATGTCTGGGTCCTAATTTTCCCCAGCAGGCCAACGCTGAGTGGTGAGTAACACACACAAAGACGGTGAGTAACACCCATTTGCTGATCAAAATAAGTGAAAATGATTTCTTAAGCACAGTGCACAACCCAGCAAATAAAGTAATACTAATGCCACATGCAGTGGGAAAATGTGCAGACTTCTAATGCATTTCCATTGAACACCATAGAGGATGAAATATATCAGTACAGAAAAGGCACATTATATGGACCAGCAGTAAATGATTATATAAAACTGATTATATAATAAAAAATATGCAATAGCCTCACCTGCTTAGCTGAAAGCTAAGTGAAGTCCTCCTAGGCTGCACAATCCACTTTCAATGCACTTTCCAGCTGGATTTTACTGTGTGAACTGGCAAAATCCAGTTGGAAAGTGCATTGAAAGTAGATTGAAAGTGGATTGTTTCGTGTATGTGTGACCGCAGCACTAGTTGTTCTCTGCCTTATTATATAGCAGCAGAACAAAGTTTGAGTCTAGTGGCACCTTTAAGACCAACAAAGTTTTATTCAAGGTATGAGCTTTTGTGTGCAAGCCACGCTTCCTCAGATGCAATGAGACAGAATTTCCTCAGCCATTATATATATAGGCAGAGAGGCTGGGGAAGTTGCCAGGAAGGGCCAATTATTGTCAAGACAGAGACAGAAACAAAAATGGCAGTTACCCGTCCATTCATAGAGGTAGAAGGCGAATGAAGATGTTCATTCTGTATTCTATTGTTATTTTTTCTTCAGTTTATACCCCGCCCTCCCCGCAAGCAGGCTCAGGGCGGCTTACACATTTGGTACAATACTGGTAAAATCACATTAAAACAATTTAAACACAATGTATCAAAAAACATAGGTGCTCATAATCCTTCGGTTCATTAATTACGATGGCATACTGTAGATATTGCTGCGGACAGTCCAGCGCATAATCTTCTTAACCAGGTGACGGTAGGGCCGGATGTCGGGCCAAGGGCCGGGCTCATTGATGGTGGTGGTCAGGGCGGCTCCTATTCAAAAGCCTGGCGGAAGAGCTCCGTCTCGCAGGCCCTGCGGCACTGTGAAAGATCCCGCAGGGCCCTGATCTCCTCCGGGAGCTGTAGTAGCTTGCATAGCTACCTCCTCCTTCCTTTGGAGTTCCTAGACAATATCCTTAAGATAAAATAAAATAGAAGCAAAGCTATAGAGGCTAAACAGCAAAGATAGACACAGAGTGTGAAGGCCTTGCAGGTCACATGAAAAAGGGAGGGGGGGTGTTGGGCTAGGCTGGAGCTAGAGTGAAGTTTTAGGACCTCAGAGAGGGAAGTCTGATCCTGCTGTGTCCTGAGCTAGCCTTTTGTATACTTTTCTCATTGATCAGGGGCAGCCCCTTTGTCCTTTGAGATATAAGAAGTGTTCCCTGCCTCTCCCAATTATCCGGTCACTTTCTTTTGGGAGAGATTCACAATGACTGGAGTTCTTCAAGAAAGCTCCCTGTCAAATGCCCATCCCATGAACACATGAAGCGGCCGTATACTGACTCAGATGACCCCCCCTTTGTCCATCAAAGTATTGTCTACTCAGAATGGCAGAGGGGGCTCTCCAGGGTCTCAAGCGGAGATCTTTTGCATCACCGCCTACCCGATCCGTTTCACTGGAGGTGCTGCCGGGGATTGGACCTGGGAGCCCGTGAGCCACAGCCCCATCCTATCTCTGCTATATCACGCAGACATCTGTTCAAGGCTGTTGGCTCAGCTGAGCGGCTTCTTCAGCCATGACCTGCATATGCCTCCTGAAGCAGACTTGCCTTCTCCTCTTCCGCTGAGCTTTCACCAGAGCTCTGGCTCCTGGGGTCACATGGCCGGGCTGCCTCTGCTTACAGGAGTTTCTCTGTGTCTATCACAGCTAGGCCTGTAGCGGGCTCAACCATGGGTGGGTCTTCAGAGTAAGACCAACCGCCATCAGGACATGTAAGTTTTCACCATGGGGGAGCCGTGGCTGCGTGGGTCAGGGCCAGGAAAATGGCATGGGAGTAGAGCTCTGAAGCTCTTCCTCCTTGTGTATCGTGAGCCAGTCTGCATCAGGCCCGTGCTCACCCGGGAATTCAGCTCCTGTCTGAGGACTCCCGGCGTCAGTGTGGGGAACGCGTGGGCTTTGGGCATCCGACCGACTTACGTTAGGTGTGGCAATGGCGGGAGAAGGCTCTTTTCCCAAGGAGGGGTGAGCATTATCCTTGCATATCCCTGGTTTTACTTGTGTTAATTTCCCAGAGTTCTCTTCATGTCCCGGCCTTTCTCTTTCTCAGGGATGTCACATTTGCCCCTGAATGAAAGCACCTGGACAATGAACGGCAAGGTGGAGCAATTGCTAAGTAAGGCGAGAGGCTTGTCCGTGGAAGAGAGAGCTGACGGGGAGGAGCCGCCCTCTGCTCTGGACACTGAGGCGGTACCTTTGGTCTCACGGGAGCCTCCTTTCTGTGTAGGCCACGATGAGAAGACTTCCCAGCCAGAAGTCTCTGATTCCTTGCTGCTGTTTCTGAACCGGAAAGGGTATGAGGCCACCTTCCAAAGCCTGTATGACCTTTCGTTTTCCTTTCTCAAGACTCTGTTTTGTGGCTATGCCAGTGAGGAAGACCTGACCGATTACTTAGGCTTGGTGAGGGAAGCCGCAAAACGAGCCCGCCTGCTGTGGGCCTTGGCACGGCTGTGCTGTCTCTTGGGGAGGATGAGTGTCCGGAAGCTCAAGCTGTCTCAAGCACGAGTTTATTTTGAAGAAGCCTTGGCGACCTTACAAGGAGACTTTGGAGACCTCTGCCTTGTCACCACTCTCTATGCAAACCTGGCCGGGATCTACCTGAGGCAGAGGAACAGAGAGAAATGTGCCAGCCTCCTCGACAAGGCTGCCGCTTTGCTCATGGGGGTTCCCAACTACATCAGCAGCACGGCCATGGAGTCAGCGGTTCTGAAGCACGCTCTAAAGAGAGCCGTCCTCAGCCACAGCAGGCGTGCAGAAGCCAGAGCCTGCTCCCTGCTAGCAAAGCACTATTTGAACTTTAAGCAAGGGGAAGAAGCACTGCCCTTCCTGGAACGGCTGCAGCTTCTGAACGAAGAAGTGGGCTTCCAAGACAGCTCCTCGTTAGCAGACGGCTGTTTTCTGCTTGGCCAGCTCTATGGGCGGAAGTGTTTGCCTCACCTGGTGCTCAGCTGCGCCCAGAAGGCCTCCTCTTGCAGCTCAGGTACTTTGCCCGAGTCTTTCAGAAGCATCGGCCTCGTAGTTAAAAATGGCCCCCAGGCTGTGGGGCAGGCACCCCCCGCCCAGATTGCTCCTTATCTCAGGCAGATGCTCCCCTTGCTGGACAGCAGCAGCAGCGCGCATGGGAAACTGCACGGAGCTGTCTGCGGCACCCTTTCTGTGCTCTGCAGCCGTCACAAGCAGTACAGGAAAGCCATTGATTACATGGAGCAGGGCCTGGATAGAAATGTGCAGGCAGGCACCAAAGAAATCATTAACCACTTGGCTTTTCTCAGTTGGCTGTACATTCTCAACAGGCAAAACATGGTTGCTGTGGATATTTTGAATGCCATAATTGAGTCTTCCCAGAGCAGCCATCAGCAGTTGGGTGTTGCACATAACATGCTGGCCATTGCCTTGGAACGGCTGCATGACACCAAGCGAGCGGCGGAAAGCTACTATAAAGCCCTGCGCATTTCACAGGAGACCGGCATGATGCAGAATCAGGCAGTCGCTTTGGCCAACTTGGGGGTCCTTTGTTGGCATTCCTCGGCCAGAAGTCTTGGGGAACGCTTCTTGTTGAGAGCAGTCAAGGTGTTCTCTGGACTGCCCAGTGTCGACTGGGGCATAGATTTTATAGAAATCCTCCTCCGGCTGGGGGGCTGCTATGCCAATGGTGCGTGTAAAGAAGCAGCCAGGTGTTGTTACGAATGGGCATTCTTGGTGGCCCTGGAAACAGACCATTTGGAAGGTGAGTCTATTCCCAGTCTTCCCAACCTAGATTTGGATATATTTCTTTTCCTTTGAGGGCCTTCTGACTCCTGAGAGGAGGAGCCACTCCCTGCACTCAGAAATGTCAGGAAAGTGACTCGGCAGTGTTCTTCATTCCCTGTCTCAAAACTGTTACGCCATAAGTCCCCTTGAAGTTTTCCCAGTTGGTTTTCTCAATTGTTACCGCTTCACTACTCCTCCCTCACATAATGGAGAGCACAACCCATTTGCTTGAATTGGTCATTGCGCATGTTTTCTAGCTTTGGTACATCTGAACATATAGCAACAAAAAAACCCTGGGTGTCCTGTTGTGCTGCCTCAGCAGAACACACGTCCTCACGCCTCCGCAAACACGTCAATGTGCAGTCAGACTGACATGGGGAATTAGCTGACATGACTGTGCCGTGGGAAACTGGGATCTTTTACCTAAAGAGGTGGCTTTGATTAGCAAATTTCAGCAGAAACAGCAGGAAAAGGATGACAGAAAACAGTCTTAAAGGTTTAAAAAGGAAAATGGAGTTTATTGAGGGATATAGTACAATAGTGTGGAAGCAAGTCCTAAATCAAAGCACAGGTAAATCGTGCATTCCTCATCCTAACTAACCATACGACAGCAACAACCGAAAATCAACCAGAGCTACTCCAGTTTTAAGCTAAAGGTGTCAATGTGAGGAAAACAGGGAATGGGACAGGGGGAGAATTGCCGTCTGTTGGGACGGAGAGGTCCACTCTTCCAGATGTGAGGCCTAAACAGCAGAGAGTGGCAAAGTGTTGACTCTCTCTGTGTGGTGCAGAGTGGTTTGGAAAATGAAGTTGGGGAGCAAAGATATACCTGTCCTTGTCCGTGTAAAAATCAAGATAGAAGAGGGGAGGGCAGTGTGTGAAAGCCTGAGTTACAGACAGGATCTGATTTCAGTGATTTCAGCAAAAGTAAGGGAGTAGACCAACCCTGAGATCAGGATAACAGGTAAGATCCAGAAACCGGCTGCCATGGTTTGGGGGCTGAGAGTTGGCTTTTATGCACCTTCAGTTGTATTGGGAAGGGGGCAGTGTCTCTTCCGTGACAGGATTGGGTTCTGGCTAGAAACTTTGACTCTTACTGAAGGTTTGCATTTTAGGAAAGTGGAAGGTAGAAGGGACTCCGAATATGAGCAAGATTTAAAAGTATGGGGGAGACATGGAACAGTCAGTCTGGGGTGTGGTCTGGTTACCTGCCCAGAATACCAACATGGGCTGCTTGAACAGATGACCAGGCAGGTTTTCGTGGTGCTTCCTGGGCTCGTGATTAAACCACCTGAGCAGGCAGCCTGACCGTAAGAGGCCAGGAGACGGCTGGTGGCCCTGCCCCGCCTTGCCGTTGGGGTTCCAGGGAACTCTGCTTTGTAAGGCGGATTCCTGGGTGGTCTTAGATGGCAAGTCGTTCTTCTACAAACCTTGATTGTTAATCATGGCCTGACCTTTGATGAACCCTCATGAAGCCAAAGAACAGAACTACCGTCAAGGATGTGTCCACCCCCCACGGGGAACGTGTCCACTTCCTTGGGAGTAAGCTTTTCTTGTGCCTGCAGCCTGATCTCAGTTTTAATACCAAACATGGCTATCCTTCTGCATCGTCAGACAGCGTATGGCCTGAGAAGCCGTGAAGGTGACCCAAAACATGGCTTCCAACTCAGGGATGCTTTCAGGGTTACACGGATATATTGACCAGTTAATGCACACCGGTAACTGTATGTAACAGCAGGATTGTGTGTTCTGCTGATAAGCAAGGTAGAGGTGCCAAAACAGCACTGGCCGTGCAGGGCCTGTGTGTTTGGCCCGGCACTCTGTTTCTTCTGGCGTCCTACTAAACTCACAGCATGGTCCTGTGCAGAGTTACCCCAGACTCATCCCATTACAACCAGTGTACTTAAACTGACTTAAGTCTTCATGGGATAGCACTGAGCGCTTCTCAAGTCCTTCCCCTGCTGTTGGGATCAAGAAACAAAAAAGGGAGGCGGAGACAATGGGAAGTGCTCCCGTGTCGGACTCTTGAACAAAGTGACTCTCCACAACACTCTCTCCACAGTGATATGTTTGTTGAGTAGTCAAGATGATGATGGAATGGAGGGAGCCAGGCCGGAAGGAGCTTTCCCTTCTCTCCCCACCCCTGCCCCTCCATTCCTGGGTACGGCCTCGTGACCCCCACACCAGGCCTCCTCGTGCAGCGGCAGAAAGCCCACAGAGTCCCCCATGGCGAGGAGAATCAGAGAAATCACTTATTGGCCAGTCTGAAGTTGTGCAGACATTAAATTCTAAAATTATCTAAAATAAATGCTTCTGGTCCTCAGTAGAATGAGGGAATGGTCGATGCATAAATGAAACCATTTCAAAGTAACTTGTAACCAAGGGGGGGTTTTGTTCTCTTTTAACTGACAGGGACCAAATAATCGAATTGAGGATCCTCCAAGCCAAAAATGGTTGCCTCTTGAGATCTGAGCCCTGACTCGCGTAGGCGGTGTAGCTTGCCCAGCTTCTCACCTGTCCTCCGTTACCCTGAGCCCTCCAGCTGGGGTTTCCCAGCGGCCATTAAGCCCCTGTTCCTTCTTTTCCGTAGGGCAATCCCAGGCTGTTCGGCATCTGTGCCAGTTCTACAGTACAGTTTGTCCAGATGAAGCTCAGTGTCTCCTTTACCACGAGTACCAGCTTTCTTTACTTAGGAAAATGCCCAACAAAGTCATGGAGGGGCAGGTGCTGGAAGCCATCGGCCGGCTGTATCTGTCTCTAGGCACTGAAAGGTGAGAACCAGCCATTTCCAGAAGGGATTTGTTCCAAACTGCATGCTGCCCAATTTCACTGATGTTTATCCTGAGCACGGGGGTGGGGGTGGGTGGGCGTGGGGAGCGGCAGTGAAGGGCATTGGCTGTCCTGTAGACCTGGGGGGGACCAGGAGCCCGAGGGTGGTGTGCCACAGGCTGTCTGCTGGAGTGAAACACAGGGAACTGCTTCTGTTGGGTTCTCCCTGATGCCTGCAAAGCTGGGGAGGCCCGGCCTGCACATCGTGTTGGGTTTGGTGCTCCCAGATCTTGCAGGTATGAATGGCACATGCAGTGTCCTGCCCTGAGAGTGAACGGAAGGTCTCTGCCATGGTGAGCTGCTTGGAGTGAAACACAGGGAACTGCCTCTGTTGGGTTCTCCCTGATGCCTGCAGAGCTGGGGAGGCCCAGCCTGCACATCATGTTGGGTTTGGTGCTCCCAGGTCTTGCAGGTATGAATGGCGCATGCAGCGTCTGCCCTGAAAGCGAACGGAAGGTCTCTGCCATGGTGAGCTGCTCCAGCAGGGTTGTTGAGCAAGTGTCCCTTCTGTCTATGGCACTTTCTGCCGTGTGGCTTTTTAGCATAGCTGTGCTAATTTTCTTAGAAACATAGAATTGGAAAGGACCTCCAGAGTCATCCAGTCCAACCCCCTGCACAATGCAAGAAATTCACAAATCCTTCACCCCACGCCCCCAGAGACCCCTCCCTGCTCCATGCCCAGAAGATGACAAAAAAACCCCAAACCCTCCAGGACCTACAGCCAAACTGGCTTGGAGAAAAATTGCTTCCTGACCCCCAAAGTGGCGATCAGCATTCCCCTGGGCGTGTCAGAGAGGGCCACAAGAACAAAGCCCTGAGGCAACCCTGCCTGCCCTCCCTCTCACGATCTGCCTCAGTTCACAGAATCCGCATTGCTGTCAGATGGCCATCGAGCCTCTGTTTGAAAACTCCAAAGAAGGAGAGCCCCACCACCTCCCGAGGAAGCCTGTTCCACTGAGGAACCACTCTAACTGTCGGGAAGTTCTTCCTCATGTTTAGCCAAGAACTCTTTTGATTTAATTTCATTCTGTTGGTTCTGTTCTGACCTTCTGGGAGAACAGAAGACTCCGCACCGTCCTCTCTATGACAGCCCTCCGAGTACTTGAAGGTGGTTATCCTATCACCTCTCAGTCGTCTCCTCTCCAGGCTCCTTCAACCTTTCCTCATAGGGCTTGGTCTCCAGACCCCTCACCATCTTCGTTGCCCTGCTCTGGACATGTTCCAGCTTGTCTATATCCTTAAACTGTGGTGCCCAAAACTGAACTCAATACTCTAGGTGAGGTCTAACCAGAGCAGAGGAAAGTGGTACCATCACTTTGCGTGGTCTGGACGCGATACTTCTGTTGATACAGCCCAAAATCGTATTTGCCTTTTTAGCTACCACATCACACTGCTGACTCATGTTCAGTGTATGGTGTGCTTAGACCCCTAGATCCTTTCTGCACATGCTTCAACAGTTCCAGTTGAAGAGGGATTATAACTGTGTCACTCAGTATAGACCTGTATCCCCATTACAGTGGACACCCACTGCTCACCAGAGAAGGGGGCTGGGATACCAGCCTCCCCCAATAACCCCCCATTACTTGGCAGAGGGAAATCCTAAAATGATGCCATTCAAGACTGCCAATTTAAATGGAAAGTTACCTGCTAGCAAACTGCCTCATCTGTCAGGTGGGAATTCTGCGACTGGGATGGGGAAGCCCCGGCAGGTGCAGCTTTCGCTCTCCCTGGTGAGCCTTTTTCAAAAGCCCAGCAGGCGTGGCCTCCCCAAGGGCAGCGGGTCAGGGAAAGAAGGGAGGGTTGGTGATTACCCCCCCCCCCCGTGTGAGTGAGATGTGCCAGAGAGAGGCTGCTGCGGTTAGCATGTTCGTGGTAGGAAGAGCATGGCGCGCTTGCCTGTGTGTGTGAGAGAAGTCGCATCCCTCAAGCCCTCTCTGTTTAGAAAACGGGTAAATGTTCTCTACGTGATGAATTCTCACACTCTTGCCATCCATGTGTTGTGATTTCCATTCTCTCCTGTCCCTGCGTGTGGCCTGGGCCACGGACTTGCCTGCCTTGCCTGATGGGGCCGTGGCAGAGACCCTTCTCCAGAAACCCGGGAATGAAAAGAACAGCTATGTTGTTGCCTCTGGTCGTTGCTAAACGACTTCAAAGCATGGCTCAGATGTGGACTGTTTAACCTAGCTGCAGCAAAATACGTTTTATTTATTTACTTCACTTATACCCTGCCTTTTCCCCCAGTGGGGACCCAAAGTGGCTGACAGTATTTCCCCCTTCTCCACTTTATTCTCAAAACTAACCCTGTGATTCAGGTTAGGCTGATTGTGTGACTGGGCCAATGCAACAGAGTGGGGACTTGAACCCGGGTCTCACAGAGCCTAGTCTGACATTCTGACCACTGCAGGTTACCATAAAGTCTAGTTGCGCCCTCAGAGCACAAAGTGACAGATAGCGGCAGCCATCCTCTCTGTGTGTGTGTGTCAAGGGCAAGCAGGAGCCAGACGGGCTCTGGGGAGGCAGGGTTCTCCATCTCTTCCGGGGACAGCCTGTGACTCTGACATGGACTGATTTCTTTAGGGCATACAGATCTGCTCTGGAATACACCAAACAGAGTCTTGGACTGTTCATTGATCTTCAGGCAAAAGTGAAGGAAGCACACGCCTGGCTTCAGGCAGGAAAAATATATTATATGTTGCGGCAGAATGAGCTAGTAGATCTTTATATTCAGGTAAGATCAATTATGTGTTTGGATTTAAATTGTGGTAGTGTGCATATTGTGAAGCACTGGAAATAACTAGATTAACTGAGAGTCACAGAGCTGAAATACATATTGTGTGTCTCAGTGATTTCATCTCCAATTGCTCTGGTTAAAGGAAAGGGGGAAAGCAGTTATACTAAAAATCTTGACTACAAGACCTGTATGATGGCCCTGTCCACTTACCTCCCTCACAGGCTAGATTTTCCCTCTGTTTTTCTTTCCTTTTACTGAGTGAGCAGCCCTAGTAATGTGTTCTCTTCTTTGCTGAAGAACTCTGGCTGTCCCACCCTGTCACAATACGATATTTTGGCTGTTTGCTCAGCTCAGGAACCTGAGGGAAGGATCAGGAGCCCACTCTAACTTAGGTCCTTTCCGCACTAGATCTTAAATCTTGGTTCAGCCCTGCCCCTGGTTCAACCCTGTCCCATTCTACACTAAACCCCATTGTCTTAAATATATTAGAACTTAATAGTCAACTCAAAGAGTCGGAGATTCTCCCATTGAATGTTTGTATGTACCATTGTTTGTTTTTGTTTGTCTTTGCCTTTTTGTTATAAAATAAAAATATTTACCAGGCACAGAACTGCTCTGAGGGAGAATTTAGATTCTAAGTCAAGAGAGCTACAGATCAGCTTTATACAGACAACGGATACATCAAAGCTGAGGGGAGCGGCTGAGCTCTCCCACGAAAGGGTCAAGGCACAGAGTCAAATCTTACTGCGAAAGTGCCAAAAAGTGCCCAAGGACACTTAAGCCCCATTGGGTAGGTAGCATGGGACTTCTGAGAATACTTCCTTAGCTCACCCATCCCACCCCCCCCAAGTGCCTACATCACTTCCCTCCACTGAAAATCTTATCGCTACGGGGCTGACTTTATTTAACATAGAGGGGTAAGGTCAGGTGAAATCAGGGGTTGAAAAATTCTGAGGTAATTGAATATAGATAACTCTGAGGTAAAACCAGTACATGCACAGACTTCCGTTCTTATGTTTCAGGCTAATGAGAGTTTCTGAAGCTATTCAGAATTCATCTTTATGTTGAGATGCTTTTGTTCCAGTGTTTCCCCAAACACTTTAGTACACTTTCCTTGAGCATTCTGAGACTCGTTTGGTTTCCAGAAGGCTGGTGTACTCTTTCCAGCACCCAAACCCCTTCTCTTGAAACACCAGTACTCATCTTGAGTTTTTAACTGACTCTTAAGGTTTCTGTAGGCAGTTTCTAACCACACCAGACCAGGGATCTCTGAATTTTTTGGAGCTAACTCTCTGTTTTGACTGGGTAGGGAAATTCTCCTCTTACTAGAAGATCTATCCCCTTTCCTTGGCCCAAATGGGAGTCTTTACCTACTTCCCAAACTTCCTTGCCAACTTCCCTGTAGTTCTCCTGTCTGTGTTAAATTGCTCTCAGCTAAGGCTGAAATCAGACTCAACTCAGTCAAGGCAGAAATCTGACTCTTTCCTCACCATGCAGCTCTCAAGTCTAGGGATGGGCACAAACCAGTAAAATGAAGGTTTATTCCGGTTTGTGGATCGTGGGGTCTCGTGAACCATGAAACTTCACAAACCTTCCCATTTACCAAACCGGTTTATTTTGTGAGGTCTGTGATGCTACGGAGCACCTCCCTCATGGGCTAGAGACACTAAACTTGCAGCAGGTCTCCAGTTGACTCTCCTCTACCTTCCCTCCAGGTTTGGTGATGATGGGATTTAGGTGGGCCAAGTTACAGCCCCCCAAAGCAGGTGCCCCCAGGAAAGTGCTCTCTGAGGAAATCACAGCCACAGGTTCAGTAGTGTGTTGAATGGCCTCCCTGCAAGCTAGAGGCATCAAACTTGCAAAGGACCTCCCCGGGAAGCACCCCTACCTGCCCTCCAAGTTGTGTGGAGTTTGGCTGGGGGGGCAAATAGTGCCCCCCCCTCCCAGAGCAGGTGCCTCAGGAAAGTGTGCTCTGGGGAAATCACAGGAGCCACAGGTTCAGGGTTGTGTCGATTTGAACAGACCCCCAGCAAGCTAGAGGCATCGAACTTGCAGTGGACTTCCTTGGGATGCTACTCTACAAGAGGGGAGGAGGTCTACTGCAGGAGGGGGGGTGGCAATTTGGAAAACCAATGGGCAGGTACAGCAAGGGCAGCTGGTGATGCCAGGCCCAGCGGGCAGGTACCCAGAGGTGCAGAAGTCAAGGATCTTAGGGTCCAAAGTACAAAAGGGGGGAGGTCTAGCATGGGAGGGGGATGGCAAGCTGGAAAACCAAGTCAGTGGGTGGGTACAGCAAGAGCAGCTGGTGATGCCAAGTCCAACCCCCCCCCCCGGTTGCTTTGACAATTAATTGATCAGCGTCAGTATGTCTAGCTCACAAACCCCTGCCAAAAACCTAACAAGCCTCTGTGAATAACATGGTGGTTCATGGGTGACACAACCTCATCAACCGAGGCCTTGCAAACCACAAACTGGCCATGTTTGTGACGAAATTAGGTTTGTGGTGAGATTCGTGCCCACACCTATGGAAATCTTTCTCTGTTCAGCAGATGCTAACCAATCAGATTGCTTGGAGCAGCCTGTCACTTAAGGCTGTCTTTCTCCGGTGGTCCAGGAGTGGGGCAGTCCTTCAGACTCCTTACTCCCAGAAATAGCTCCTCCTCTCCGAAGGCAGGGCCGGAAGACTCTTTAGTCATGGAGGGGAGGGGCTTGACCCCTGAAACCCAGTCTCTCCGGCCCTGCCTTCCAAGCAGGACGTTGCAGACAGTGTTCCGTTGGAGCACAGTAATTAGAAGAAGAAGAAGAAGGAAGAAAGAAGAAGAAGCCAGAAGGAGAAGGGCAGGAACAAGTAGCTTCATAGCGCCTCTGTTCCCCCTCCCTTCACCACCTTCCTCCTGGCCATCTACAGCCGCAGGAGAAGTGTAGCTTCCTTTGCAAAGGCGTCGATGGACGTGGGAGAACCCTGGGGAACTGTGATGCTGATGAGACTCCTGCAATAGCACTTCCAGTCCAGGAGGGGGGGGACTGGTTGATAAGTCTCCGCTTCCTGCCCATAGGGAGCCTAGGAGGGAAGTGGTAGAGTCTCCAGCATTGGTGGGGCTGCTGCAGCTGCGCCAAAGAGTCCTCACCTGCTGACTACAATTGGCTCCTTGTTCTTACAGACGTGGGAGGCTGATTCCAAGTACCGGTCCACAGCAGTTTGGTAAGAAGGGAAAGGGGCCAGGAGGGCTCCTTCCCAAGGATGACTCAACCCCCCCCCATGGATTATAGGGGGTAGAGGGAAGGTACTGCGGTGGCCAGGGCATTGGGGGAGAAAAGGGGATGGGGAAGGGCTCCTTTACTAGCACGGCAATCCCCGCCTCCCCCGGCTAGCTTACCATGAAGCTTGGAGGTGAAAAAAGACCCAGAACTTGGATAGGAGACCACCTGGGAGTTCTAGGGTCGTTAGGTATAGTCAACAAATACCTCCCAACCTGAGGTTTGTTCAGAGCTCCCCCCACCCCCGACCTTGCAGGGCCATAGAAAGCCTGGGCAATGGGAAATAAAGGCGGGAAGCAGCCATTTTGGGGACAAAGTTGTTACTTTCACTTTCAGGGAGAGTACAAAATGGCTACTAAAGCAGGATCCTCCACTTCTCTGGAACTGAAAACTGAAACTTGTACTTTTGACCTGGCTGAGTCTCCTAAATCCCCTCTAAATCAAGCACAGGAACACCCTTTTGGGGAAGAGGCCCACTCTAACCTTCTTTCATGGTTGAAATTAGAAATGAGGAAGGAGTTTAAGGCCATGTGGCAAGAATTTCACAGGTGTCCCCACACTCCCAGGCGTCACAAAAGGCACAGCCCTAGTGAGTGGGAACCTGATCTTCTTGGGAAAAAGAGAAAAAAGGCCCAAGAATACCAAAGGGAACATAGTCCTCTATTAGATGAACTAGACTCTGATTCGCCCAAGCAAGAGGGTGAGTTGTCGGAGGAGGAGGAGGAGCCTGTGGTTTAGAAGATGATGCATGGGATAGAGCATCTGATTCAGCATCTGCAGACTCTGATTCGCCCAAGCAAGAGGGTGGTGTGTTGTCGAAGGAGGAGGAGCCTGTGGCCCAATCTAGGCTTCCCCACAGGAGCTCTACAATAGACTCCTTCCAAAAGTCATTAGGACATTTGAATTCGCTTACACTCCAAAAGAAAAAGAGGAAGATGATGCCGGCTTTCCTGTAGGATTAGACAAAACCATGCCAAATCCAGTGCTAAAACAGGGGGGTACCACTGCCAGCAGCCTTCTATAACGTTATGAAGGCAGAGTGGGAGCACCCAGCTAAACCTAAAGCCACTCACCCGGCATTTGGAAAGTTTTATTCTCTCATACCGGAAGCTTCAAAAAAGCTGAAACTGTCTGTAGTAGACGACCCAATTAACAATAGCCTGGCATCCACCTCGGTTCTTCCTATGGAGGCAGATGGGCTTCCCAAAGAGAACAGCGACAAGCACATAGAGCAAGCCCTGAGGAGAGATTTTGAAGCGTCGGCTAATGCTCTATGAGCTTCTGAAGATTGCTCTTGCCATGGCCTTTGCGGTGGATGCCACACTGGATGCAGTGCAACAATCGGCCAGGAGCATGGCTTGCAGCGTTACAGCAAGACGTAGCACCTGGGTGAGGAGGTGGGATGTGGATCCTTCAGTACGGGCTAAAGTGGCAGCGGTTTCATTCAAAGTTGCCAACTAGTTTGGAGACGGTCTGGAAAGGTACCTTATTGAGGATAAGGATAAGAAGAAGGTTCTTCCCTCAAAGAAGAGGGCAGAAAAGAGAAGACGATATCTTCAGTCCTTTCGGGACTCCAGAAGAGAGACCAAAACTGGCAGTAATAGATCTTACGAAGGCAAGTGGCAACCCAAGTCCAAAGACAGCAGATCATCTTCTTTCTCCACAAAGCAATCCCACAATGGCAAGAACGCAAAGAAAGGACCCCAGGCATGACTATGCTGGGAAGAGGACACAGACAGGCATCGGGGGCTGTCTTTAGCAGTTTGCACAAGTATGGCAGAGGACAGTCATGGACAGATGGGTTCTGGACACTGTCTCAACAGGATATTCCCTAGAATTTTGGTCACTACCTTTGAACCATTTTATGAAGCTACCAAAGAACAGATCCAGAGTGAAACACAGACAACTTTAAGTGGCCATTGCCCATCTGCTCAAGATAGGGGCAATAGAATCAGTCCCATTCCTAGAGAGATCTCAAGGGGTCTCCTTCGCTGTACCAAAGAAGAATGGGGATGTAAGAGGAATTTTGGACCTAAAATGGCTAAACAAGGAGGTAGTGACATGATTGAGGTTTATAAGATTATGCATGGGATAGAGCAGGTAGAGAAAGAGGTACTTTTCTCCCTTTCTCACAATACAAGAACTTGTGGGCACTCAATGAAATTGCTGAGCGGTCGGGTTAGAACGGATAAAAGGAAGTACTTCTTCACCCAAAGAGTGATTAAGACATGGAATTCACTGCCACAGGAAGTGATAGCGGCTACAAGCATGGACAGCTTCAAAAGGGAATTAGATAAACATATGGAGCAGAGGTCCATCAGTGGCTATTAGCCACAAGGTATAGATAGGGGCTCTGGGGCAAGTGATACTCTGTCTTCTTGGTGCTTGTGGGGGGGGGGTCAACAGTGGGAGGGCTTCTAATGTCCTGGCCCCACTGGTGGACCTCCTGATGGCACCTGGTATTTTTGGCCACTGTGTGACAGAGTGTTGGACTGGATGGGCCTTTGGCCTGATCCAGCATTGGCATCTCTTATGTTCTTAGTTACCAGAAAGTTCAAGATGGAAACTGTGAAATCCATTCTGACTTCTATACAGAAAGGGGACTATATGGCGTCCATAGACTTATCGGAAGCCTATCTACACATACCAATTCAGGAAGCTCATTGCAGGTTTCTTCAATTCACCTACCACGGAGACCATTACCAGTATTGGGCACTTCCTTTTGGCCTGAAGTCCTCACCGAGGGTCTTCACCAAGGTCCTAGTGTCTCTGGTTGCCTACCAGAACCAAGGGGTTATCACTGTACCCCTACTTAGGCGACATATTAGTCAAGGCCAACTCATACGATCTAACGGTAAAGTCACTGGAGATCACGATGAAGGTACTCGGGGATCATGGGTTTGTGAACAACTTGGAAAAGAGTTCTTTGATACCAACTCAATCCCTAGTTCATCTGGGAGTGCGCATCAACACGGTGAGGGACAGGGTGTTTCTATCTCAAGAAAGACAACAGAAACTAATACAACTGAAACAGGAGGTCATGCTTTTACAAAGAGTGGAAGTTATGACGCTAGCACGACTCTTGGGGATGCAAGTATCGTGCCAGAAGTTGTTACAATGGGCCAGGTTCCACACACGTTCTCTACAACGCTTTCTCCTCCCCTTTCAGAACTTGATAGCTCAGAAGAGGGCCAGAAAGGTGGACCTTCCACAGGTAGTGAGACAACAGTTAGCTTGGTAGCTAGAACCAGACCACTTCTCAGAGGGCATGCCACTCAGGGAGCCAGTCCGAGTGTAATCACAACGGACGTAAGCCTGTTTGGTTGGGGGACGCATATGAAGGGGGAAATGGGACAAGGCACTTGGAGCCTGACGGAGAGTTCCAACAGCACGAATCTGCTGGAGCTAAGGGCGATCAGAATGGCTCTGGAGAAATTCCAGGGAGAGATAGTAGGCAGTCACATATTGGTCCAAACAGACAACATAACAGTAAAGGCTTATGTCAATGGACAAGGTGGGACATGCTTCAGACGGCTACATGAGGAAGCAAGCCAACTGGTGAGGTGGGGAGAGACACACATTCTGTCCATAAATGCGATACATGTGGCAGGTCGGGAGAACACTGTGGCCGACTGGCTGAGTTGGCAGTGGGTCGATCAGTCAGAGTGGATGCTCAACAGGACACTGTTTGGTCAACTCTGTCACAGATTCGGGACACTGGAAGTGGACCTATTTGCCACAGAACAAAATCGTCAAACAAGAAACTTCGTGTTAAGACTAAAGAATCCTCTGGCCATGGGCACAGATGCACTACATCTCAAGTGGCCAAAGACATGTCTTCCCACCGATTCAAGTCAAAGAGTGGTCCAAAGAGTGATAGATCAAAAAGCAGATATCATTCTAGTGGCTCCATTTTGGCCCCATCGGGCCTGGTTTCAAGATCTGAAGAGACTGCCGGTGGGGGAACTGTGGCATCAGTGGTGGATCTCCTGACACAGGGTGGCGGTTCATCCTCAGCCAGGGTAGTTGTCTCACAGCCTGGAGGTTGAGTGGCAGCAGCTGACAGAAATAGGCTACCCACAGGGGGTGGTTAAGACTATGCTAGTGGCCAGGAAGGGTTCTACCAACAGGGTCTATAATAACACATGGCAGGTGTTCCATTCTTGGTGCATAGGGGGGCAGGACCCTCTTAGGGCACCTGTGGGCGAGGTCCCGTCCTTCCTTCAAGAGGGGTTGGAGAAAGGACAACACAAAAGCACCCTGAGGAGGCAGGTGGCAGTTATCTCCACCGTCAGGGGAACTAGGAAAGGCACGTCCCTCTTGAATCCTCCGCAGGCACATAGGTTTCCAACTTGGAACCTCAACATAGTCCTCAAGGCTCTGTACTGATCCAGCTTTTGTCCCTAAGGTCAATTCAGCCTTCCATAGGTTGATGGATATTGTCCTTCTGTCTTTCTGCCCAAACCCTCAAGGCCAGAAGGAAAAGGAATGGCATTGCCTGGATGTGAGGAGGGCACTAAGTTTCTACCTGGATAGGACGAGGCACATGAGAAGCACCGACTCCCTCTTTGTCCCTTTCAGGAAATTGTCCCTAGGTAGGAAAGTCTTCCTCCCTAAGTAGATGGATTTGAGGGTGCCTATGTTTGGGCTAGGGGTCTGGAGCTTCCCCAGGGGGTTACGGCCCATTCCCTCAGAAAGCCTATTGGGCTTTCCCATCACTGGAGGTGGTCTGCAAGGCAGCTACCTGGAAATCGGTGCACTCCTTTACAAGGCACTACAGGATAGACAAGATGGCCTTGGCAGAGGCTGCCTTTGGCTGTAGGGTCTTACAGCACACCTTGTAGGCAGGGAAGCGGTTGGACCCACCCTGGAGGGTACTGCTTTTTCACGTCCCAGGAGTCAGGAGTCTGAAGGGCTGCCCCAGTCCTGGACCACTGGAGAATGGAAGATTTGTCTCCACTTACCGTGAAGCTTCCTTCTCGGTGGTCCAGAGTGGGGCAGTCCTACCCACCCTTATGCATGGGGACCCTTCATCGACAGGGGTGTTGTTTTTTCCATTCGTGTACAGACAGGGATTAGGGGTTGGTTGACCCTAGCCGGTTCCATTGGGGGACGGGTTATTTCAAGTTTTGTTGGATGGTTAGCTCCCGGTTGGGGGTGATATGATGTGTTTCCTTTTCAGTGAAGGGGAATGGAGGCTTGGGAAATGACTGGGTTCCAGAGGTCAAGCCCCTCCCCTCTGTGACTAAAGAGTCTGCTGGCCCTGGCCTTCGGAGAGGGTGAGCTGATTCCCAGGAGTAAGGAGTCTGAAGGACTGCCCCACTCTGGACCACCGGGAAGGAAGCTTCACAGTAAGTTGGGACAAACCTTCCCATTTCTGTGAAGAATTAACACTTCACAGTCCTTCAGCTGTTTGTACAGCACTCCTACACTTTTAAGAAGTGCAGTCTGTCACAGACTCAGTGCGGCCAGGAAAGGAAAAGAGTGCGGGTGCCCCAACAGCCTGAAAAGTGCTTAGAGTGATGGCAGTGATGGGTGAAGCAGGGCCATGCAAAGAGGTGGCTGGAAATTCTGCATTTGGAGGGCTAGATGAAAAAGACAGACTCTGAGAGATCTCTTCTGACGTGTCAGACAAAAGAGCAGAGAAGGCCTGAGTACTGCTCATGAACAGAACTATAGTTGTTTTTTTAAGAGACTCTGGTGCAAAGGCTTTCTTAAGGAGGCTGCAGGCATCGTTGACAGCCCGTTTGGCAATTTGGGGGAGACTTCCACAGTGCCCTGAACTGCCTGAGTGAGGCGTTTTAATGGAGGGCAGCTGAGGCGGATTTTAAATAAATACATTTGCTGTTGCAGATTCAGGGAGCTCCCTGGGTTCTAAGGCCAAATATAGAATCTTAAGTAAATATCTGTATTGATATCCTTTTTTACCATCTTAGAAAGTTAACTGTGTATAAGGGTTTCTCTAAGACTTAAGCTTTTTGGGGAAAGTGCCAAATAGGAAAAGAATGGAAAATCTATCTAGCAAATTAAAAGACTTGTGTAACATCATCCTTTTTTCTTTTTGGCTGGGAAATTTTATCACAGCTTCCTGAGGCAATCCAGATGGAAGCTGTGATTAGCATACTTGAGATCCTTTATGAAGGGAGATGAACACCGGAGTGCCTCACATGCAGGGAAATATGGGCCGATAAATGGCAGATTCTGTAGCGCTCACCAGATGACTTATTTAACTGCTGTGAAGAGCTCCAGTTGGCAGTGAACTCACAAGGCATTATTGCCAAGCAGAGAGCCTGAATCAGACCCTCACAACAGTGGCAGCTGAAGGAGCTATTAATTCCTCAAGGAAGACAGTGCCACTGAATGAAGAACCAGTAGAGAGTGTCTGCTGCTATACCAAAGAAGGGGAAACAATAATATTCCTGTACAATTCAACTATGTGACATTGAGGCACTAAAGAATGCAGTTGCTGCTAGCAACACTTCTAACTCTATGTGGCCTCTTTCTGCTGTGGGACCAGGGAAAAGTGAATTAAAACAGTCACTGAATTACATCATGTTTCTGTCTGAGATGGTTATGTCTGCACTCTAATTGCAAATGTGTCTCTCTAGGTTGCCCAAAATGCTGCTGTCTGCACTCAGGATCCTAACTTAGAAATGGATTTGTTTGAAGCTTCTGGAGACATATTTTTTAATGGAGACTGGGAAAAGGGAAAAGCCGTGTCCTTCTACAGGGTTGGTGTTCTTTCTTATTTTTTCTCATTCTTCACTGTCCAGTTGCAGGGATTTTGATGAGATTGCACACAACAAAACCCTCTAGTGCCCGTTGGTTCACAGAACTGTCTATGCTGCCATTTGGTCCCAGTGGCTTAATGCAACGAGTGCACACTCAGCCGTGAGGGCTCAGGTAAAGTCTTTGCCTAAAAGATGGCGACTGAGAGTTCCATCAGTGGGGCACGCCCAAAGGAAAGGTGAATAGACACCCACTTCTAAGCGCACGCTCAGCCGTTGAGGGCTCAGGTAAAGAGGGCTGTCTTTGCCTAAAAGATGGCGACTGAGCGTTCAATCAGTGGGGCACGCCCAAAGGAAAGGTGAATAGACACCCACTTCAGTTTCCAGGGCAGGGGTATTCAGAGTACACAGGATACAGAAATAGGTTTTCTGAAACTGTCAGAATAATGGATTTTGTACTTACATTCATTTTAGGACAAGGCTCTGCCACTTGCTATTGAGACCCGAAACAGAAACGCTGAGCTCCGCCTCTGCAACAAGCTGGTGGGATTGCTGTTAACATTAAAGGCCTATGAGGAATGTCTGGGATATGCACAAGCATCGCTAACGCTCAGTGTTGATTTAGGTAAAGGCAGTGTTAATGAAAACCTGCCTGGAAGTCTTCTGTGTCACTTTCGACCCGTCCAGACATGTATATCCATGCTTAAAATGTGATCATTTACAACCAACTGTGTGACTAATACTTGAAAGTTACTAAGGCTCTCCTCTTCTCTGATTTTTTCTCATCTGTGTGGTGTTATTATATATATATTTTGGACTGGATGCAGGGGAAGGTGCTGATGACTGTCAATATTTCATGGGATCATGGCACCCATGGTTGGGAGGTGTGGCCGGTAGAGCACACGAGTGTACCCCACATCAGCCATTCAAAGTGGTGCTCTAAGCCAGCCAATAGGAGCTATACTGGGGAAAGCTGAGATCTAACAGGGGGAGGTTTTGAAGGCATTCAGGTTTAAGACTCTGAGTGCCAGCTTAACAAAAGGGGGAAAATGCCAGGTGGTGACTGGTTTATTATCACACAAAGCCCTCCTATGCATTTTGCTGTGCAGGCTTCATCAGGGGGATTAGAGAATTCACCATACTGATGTGATTATAAGTCAAACTGACTGTAATTCTCTCACTTTGTGACTTGGTTTTGTTGTTATGTAACAAATCTTCCCTTCTGAAAGCTGTAGCCTTATCATACGCTTCTTGTACGATGTGGTCTGGGTCACCCCTAGTAGCAAGATTTTGTTTTAGAGTTCTTGCCTCCCTTTGATACTCTTCAGTGTTTGTGCAATTCCTTGTAACCCTCAAGAATTGACTATATGGTAAATTATTCTTATATGAGCCGGATGAAAACTACCACAACTTAAAAAGGAAGCTCTATCTGTAGGGTTTTTGTATATATTTATCCATATCCAATTGTCCCTTTTATTAATCATGACATCCAGGAAACTGATATGATGTTCTTTGAAATTTATTTCAAATTTTATATTATCGTTAACGTCAGGCCACCTATGAAATTCTTGCAACTGAGCCTTTCCATATTAAGAAAATATCAATATATCTCCACCATATAGATATATAATTCCTTTTTTAAATTTATTTTTTAAAAGTGGGATACAGAAGGGAAGAAGGGGTAGGGGAAAATATAGATCCATCAAGGTTGTCAAGTATTATGAGTTGCTACGTACAACAAGTAAAATCAGATCTATTACCAAATGTGTTACATATTTCAAATATAGAAGCAGACAACAAAACATCATTATGACAGAATTTTGGGATAGATTCTCTCTTTAAATAATAAACAAGAAATTTCCTAAATTTAGTGATAATCTATTAACAGTAGATTATATCTTTAACAGCTGAATGAACTTCTGTGCTAAAAGTAAATCATTCAAAAAACCTAAATATCCTCCTAATGGTTTGTCTAAATCTAAATTTTATTCTTACTAATTATTTAAATACTAGTGGAATACAGAATCAAATAGAAACTATAATCAATATCTTCATCACCTTTAATATGTTATTTAGATGATTCCAGACCTCAAAAAAAATCAACTATTCCCATAATATGAGTAATAAGCTTGTCATTTCTGCTGAAATTCTTTCAATGGTCTTTTGTTTATATAATTAGTTTTGCCAATGTTGCATACTCAGCTAGTTTTTCTTTTCAGCTCTCTATTGTAGGACTGCCTTCCATTTCATTGCAAATATTACTCTGGCAGCTGCCAACATCTATCTAAGTAGGTCTTGTGAAGTTCTGGCTTTATTATCTAGTAGGATTCCCAGTAACATAGTCTCTGGTTTCATCGGGAATTTGGGTTTTAAAATATTTTATTATTTATTTATATATTTATTTACTAGAAATAAGGCCCGTTGTGGAAATAAATACAACGGGAGCTAGAAAGAGGCTCTGGGAGAGTGCTCTGGCTTTGGGATGCTGAGGAGCAGTGCCATCAGCCATACACTAAGGGAGTGCATTTTAGAATTAGAACTTTGGCACCCACTATTCAATTATATATAAGGAGAGATTTATATTTACTATCCCGCCCTAACCCCTGGGGGTCTCTGGGCGGCTTACAGAAGGTGCTAATCACATTTTTACAGAATCTAACCTAGGGCCACAGACATATAGGGGTGGTGACTACCCTACCAGGCACCCTTTTTCTTGCGGCGGAACTTTGGTCGTTGTCTTGTTCTTGCGAGAGGTAGTCGGCGGTGTCCTCTCTGGTGCTGGTCTTTTAAGTTCCTTCTTCTGGCTGTGACAATTCCATTTCCGGGCCAGGACCACTCGCACTTCCGCGCATGCCCCGCTGCGGCCTCTGTCCTGGTGAGGCCCCGGCCTGCTGCGTTGCTCCGCCTCCATGCCAGTTGGTCCGGCCTCCTTCGCTCGCTCACTTCTTGCCTCACCAGCCACCATTTTTCTCTGTCACCGCCGCAACACAGGGACGGGTGCCCCCCTGCTCTAGTAGCACGTACCCATTAGTCTAATCGCCCTTTAACGGGCTTTCGAGCCGCTGGGTGGGCGGGAGCTGGGACATAGGGCCGGGTGCTCACCCCGGCCACGGTGGGGCTCGAACAGCCAAAGCTGTTTGGCCAGATGTACAAGCAGGCATCTCTTACCGCCTGTGCCACCGCTCCCTTCTCTTCATGTATATTTTTCCATTATCTTTTCATTCTTGGTGTAAGTCCACCACATATGATAAAAGATGCCATCTACTTCTTTACATTTCCAGCAAGCCCCTTTGTAATTCTTGTCCCTCTTTGCAATATCTTTTGGGGTGATGTGCCATCGGTAAAACATCTTGTACCAGTTTTCTCTTAATGCTTGGCTACCTTTAGTCCATAGATGTTCCCTGCATTGAAACTGTATTTTCTCACCGAAATTTTGCATCCATTTATTCTTGCAGGGTTTGACCTGTTCTCCTTCAGAATCATACTGAAGCAATAATTTGTAAAATTATTTTATTTTCAGCTACAACTCAAATTAAACCATTAGACATGTATCAACAGTCCTTGTGCCAATCTAATTATAATATTTATATTTTTCTCTTTTTTTAATTTTATTTTTCATGAGGATCATAAGCCTGTGTCTTTTCTCTTTGTATGTATTGAAGGTGATCTTTATTTCTTCCCTTTTATGTTCCATACTTCCACTGGATAAAGATTCCTGTCTTATATTGTTATCCATGTTTTTTTTATTTGCTAAAACCAGGCCATATGACAGCTCATCTTGTATTCTCTCTTCTGGCATTTCAAGAGTTGAAAAAGTTATTACTCTTCCCATAATTTTTTTTACTTGACTTGTGTTGCTTTTTATGGGATAGCTGGGATCTTTGTCTGAAAGCAGAGTTTCATGGAATAGTTAATCTTGGTTAGAATCCTGCTCCTTAACTGGTCATATTACAGTCAATTGGTCTTCCTTCTCATTTGGAATTTCCTGTTGTGAGATCAGTTCCTTATTTACAGTCTATGAAAAGTAGTCTGGGGGTCCAGTCACACGCCGAATTAGCCGTGTGATAGGGATGAATGCCGGGCGAATTTTATGGGTGCGATCACACGGGAACATCTGGTGCCTCCCCGACAGGGAGCAAGGGGACGCAGCGCACATGGCTGGGGGGGGGTCCTGGTGCCCCTCTCTTTGATATGTCTCAGAAGCAATCACCTTAGGTAAATTTTCAATGTTAAAACACAGTCTTAAGAGCAGTCCCACCTTCAAAAGTAGCCAGAATCCATTTTAACCAAGACGTTCTGTTAAAGATACACAGTCCGTTTATTTTTAAATCCCATGAAGTAAGAGGAAAAAGCAATGCATTGTAGATTCAAAAGTATAAATTCCAGATACTGATCGCAGAAGTCTATTGAAATGTTCAAATAGCAGTACTTGAGGCTTTTTTGCCATGGTGAATATTTCAAGGATTTTAACTTCCCAGTCTCTTGGCAGCTCATGAAGGGGAAGGAGGAGGGGGGAAACTCCACGTCTCATTCCCTTTCTTTTTGGAAAATTTAAAGGAGCGAGATCAAGATATCTTTGGAGATAAGTTTTTGCAGTTACAGGTACTCACATCAGTTCTTATCTTCAGTGATGTTATGGTGAGGTTCAAGCTCTGGTTGTCGGGTGTTCACAGCTTATCACAGTCATGGCTCCGTGACTGTGCCGTTCTGCGCCGTGCTTCGCAACATCCTCGGTCTTCCAGCTGCTTGCTGCCGCTCGCAGGGAGACCAGGGCAAGTCTCTACGGGAGAGTCGGTGGGGTCTTGGGTAACCAGAGCACCCCCCCTAAAGGTGCAGAATGTCGACGATCCTTGGGAGCTCGCCCGAGTCTCAACCTCCGTGCTGCACCGCAGCCTGGAAAACCCCAACATTAAATTCTTATTGCTGCAGACACACACTGATTCCCATTAACACAGAAAAATTTCATGAGTTGATTCAGAGAGGCAAGGCGGGATATAAATAGAAAGAAAGAAAGGAACTTTAACTTTAAATGAGTCCTGCAAGCCCCACGCCGGCTGGCTTGGCTTGGAGAAGGGATTTAAAGAGGCAAATGCCTTCTCCAAGCTTGTCGGGGTGGGGGGGCTTTGAGAGTGCATTAAAGCTGCTTTCTTTCTCTGCTCCCCCCCACACACCTCAAGCCTACCCAGGGAGGAGAACACTGGCTGGGGAAGGGAAGACCGATTGGGGAGGCACGCCTCCTCTTCGCTTCCCCAGATGCCCTGCCGGGAGCCACACAATATGTGTGAAAGAGCCACATGTGGCTCCCGAGCCGCAGTTTGGCCACCCCTGGTTTAGACCAAAGGCTTGTAGTCCTTAGAAGAAGTCTAGTGCTTTTAGAAATATGTCATTCTTAGGTTTCCATGCTGTTTTCTTTGTTTGTTTCCTTTGTTAGGGATGCAGTTAAGTGAAAGAGTGGCCTATCACCGCCTGGCCGTCGTCCACCATCATCTGGGGCACAGTGAGCTTGCTGAGCACTTCTACCTGAAAGCTCTGTCCCTCTGCCCTTCCCCTCTGGAATACGATGAGGAAGCCTTATACTACGTGCAGGTCTACCTTGTTCTAGGAGACATCATTTTCTATGAACTGAAGGTGAGTTACCAGAAGAGAACTGATATTTGGGTTCTGGTTTTGCTCAGGAGAAAAGTGGGCTAAAACTTTTTTGTAATATAAATGAATCAATATTTGAACATGAACACTTTCTTTCATCGCTTGAGATTAGAGTGTATATTAAGAAAAGGGTCTCAGGTTTATACTGTAACATGCAGTCTTGCACCAGTAGATGGCTGGTTCCCATTAGCTCACGTTCTAAAAGGCTTGCAAGGGCAACCTAAAAAATGAATGGAGCCAATCACTTCATTCACTGGGCGGAGGACTAGTCAGGTGACAATTTCCTGCAGATACCAACCGTTTCCTTTCGATGTATTTCCTTTCAAGAGCCATCCTGGGCATTAAGAGTAGTCAGAGTTACCAACTTCAGATTTGTAAAATACTTAAAGAAACAATAGCAGAACAACAGTGATGAGTTCAAGGAGGATGTGGAGGTGTTTTATTTGTAGCCTCTTGATTCATGGCTACTGAGGAATGAGGTGGGCTTTAGGTGGGGGGGGGTTAGGTTGGGGGCTTGAGGAGGAGAGAGAGTTTATTCTAAGGCTTAGAATAAGTTCTGGTTAAAACAACACAAAATGTTTAATGTTTATTTATTCGGTGTATTTAATGTATGCATTTTTTTAAAAAAAATATTTTAAAATTTCAAAGCTGGCTAAGAGCTGCCTCCTACTCTTCCATGGCAATCCAGGTATCTCACGGGTGCGGCCGGTGGCAAACACAGAAAACGTTCACAAGAGATGCCTAAAATGTTCTCCTTCAGTCTTTTTATTTTTCCAGCCCTGCTTTTATACTGAAACTTGATCTAAGTTCTCAGGGTAGGATAGGATTAAAAAATAATTCTATATGGAATGGAATGTGGAATTGGGGCAAACAGTGGTGGTGAGGGAGGGAGGGTCTATAACTTACTGACAAATTGTAGACTAACATCAACCAGATGGAATCCATCCTAGAGTTCTTAATGAACTCAAATGTGAAACTGCTGATCTTCTAAATAGGATATGTAACATGCCCCTAAGATCTGCTTCTATACTGAAGGATTAGAGAATGGCAAATGTAACACCCATTTTAAAATAAGGATCTGGGAAATTACAGGCCAGTAAACATAATAATTATTGAAGGTGTAAACGTATGGAAAACATTATTAAAGATAAAATTATCAAGCATATAGAAGGGTGGATCCTGCTGAATAAAAACCAACATGGCTTCTATAAAGTTAAGTCCTGTCTCACTAACCTTTTAGAGTTCTTTGAAAATGTCAGTAAGCATGTGGACAGGAGTAAGCCAGTAGATGTTGTTTTACTTGGGTTTCCAAAGGGCTTTTGGCAAAGTCCCTCACCAAAGACTCCTGAGCAACCATTGGAGTCATGGGGTAAGTGAACAAGTTCTCTTGTGGACTGTATATTGGCTTCAAAAACAGGAGGCAGAGAGCAGGAGTAGTCAGTTTTTGCAGTGGAGGGATGTGAGCAGCTAGGTTCCTCAGGGATCTGTATTGGCACCGGTGCTTTTCAGCTTGCTCACAAGTGACCTGGAATAAGGGGAATAAGGCCAAGTCTGCAGATGACTCCAAATTATTTACAGTGGTTAAGACAAAGGATGAGATGGTTAGACACTGTCATAGATGCAACGAACATGAAATTGAGTATACTTCAGAGGACACCAGAAGACAGGAGGGCCTGGCGTGACCTGGTCCATGGGGTCACAAAGAGTCGGACTCGACTGTGCAACTGAACAACAAGAAGAAGAAGAAGACAGAAATGGATTGAGAAGAGTTCCAAAAGGATCTCTGCAAGGTTGGGGAATGGGCATTAATATGGCAAAATGAGAACAAGTAGTGTAAAGTGATGGGGAAAATGACCAAAAAAAATCCCTAACTTCACATCTGTATCTGTCTATGGGCTCTGAGCTGGCAGTGTGTGGACAGAGTGGACAGAGAGAAGTGTTTCTCCCTCTCCCATAATACTAGAATCTCTCCCATGATACTCGATACTGTGGGCCATCCACAGAAGCGGATGGGTAGGAGATTCAGGACAGACGAGAGGAAGCACTTCTTCACACAGTGCATAGGTAAACTGTGGAACCTGCTGCCACAGGATGTGGTGCTGCCTGCCAACTGGGAAGGCTTTAAAAGGGGATGGACAAATTAATGGAGGATGGGGCTACTAGTCATGATGGCTACTAGTCACAAGGGATACCTGCCCCTTCCAGTTCCAGAGGCAGTGGATGCTTCTTTATACCAGTGGCAGGGGAGGATGGGTGGGAGACGGTGTTGCAGTCATCCCTGCTTGCAGGCTTCCCAGAGGCAGCTGGTGGGTCACTGTGTGAACAGAAAGCTGGACTTGATGGACCTTTGGTAGGAGCCAGCATGAACGTTCTTATGGAAGTAGAAGAGCCAGCAAGTAAGTTTCCTGAGGGCCACACGGCAAGAGGCCCTTTTCCATCCCCATGGGGAGGTGACTGCCTGTAGAATTCCAGGCTGGCCTCCTGGTGTCTCTTTGTTCCCTCTCCTGCAAGCTCTGACAGTTCACATCTTCTTTTGCTCTTTCAGGATCCTTTTGATGCCTCTGGGTACTACAACTTGGCTCTTGCGGCAGCCATGGAACTGGGCAACAAGAAAGCTCAGCTGAAGATTTACACAAGGCTAGCAATAATCTACCACAACTTCCTGGTGGACCGAGAGGTCTCTCTTTCTTACTATCAGAAGGCCAGAGCCTTTGCAACAGAGCTCAACATTCACAGAATTAATCTAGCCCCTGTGAGAGCAGCACAGGGGCTAGTGAAGAACGTCAAGTGAGATGCTGACCATTCCCCTGGTGCCTGCAGAGAGGGCAGGGGATCTGCTCGTATATGGTGCATGTGCTACTTGCATTCCAGAAACAGCACTCCATTTAACTGAGAAGCTATGATTCTGCAAAAGTCTCCAAACGTTCACTCGTGTGCACTTTAATAAAAGGAGTGTGAAGAGTGAGGTGGAAAGAAAAATCTACATCTTCTAAGCGCTCATATAAGGAGAAGATTATTGAAATGTAATTACCTGCATGATTTAACAAGCAATAAACATGCTGACTATTAAAGCTTAAGATTTTCTTGCGTGAAACGTAACATAAACAAGCCCCCGGAAAGGTGGGGGAGGTGCTGCCCAGCCGGTCACCACGGTTACCATGCACTGGAAACTGGATGTGCAGTCCGAAATCAAGTCAAACAACAGTGCCAAAGGTCAGAAAGCCAGGAAATCAGTCCAAGGTTGCAGGAGCAAGGAGTGGAGGCTAACAGCCAGGATCAGGTCCGAGCAGGCATGGTTGCTTCCGCACTGAGGCAGGTGCGTGGGGGTGTTTATGACCAGGTCCTCCCTTCCCTGGGAGTCAATCTGCCAAGACTCACAGCCCTTCCCGTTGCCTTTGCAAGAGCTGCAGTCTGGCACTCTTCCTTCACTCCTGCACATCCAGCCGCTGGCGCCCCCACCTCTGGGACACTCAGGAGAACTGGGTGGGGATTCTGGCCTCGGAGTGTCTCCACCCGGGGGGGGTGCTGGGCCAGGCTCTGGATCAGTCTCTCCCTCTGGCTGCCCCTCCTGCGCAGCTGCTGGGCCCTCTTCTCCCTCAGGTGCTGTTAAGGGTTCCTCTGCTGGGCTGGCTCCAGAGGAGGCTGGGTCGCTCCGTGCCTCTTCCTCATCTGAGGAGTCCTCAGCCTCAGCAGGACCAGGAACCAGGATGCAGGATGCACAACAAGTCCTGAGGTAAGACTGGAGAGGCAGTGCCCGGCCTTGTCCACTGAGGGGGAGGCGACAGTGCCTAGCCTACCTTGCTCTGCCCAAGACAGTGGGGAGGCGGCACCCCACTTCACCTGCCTGAGCCTTGCGTGAAACCAGGGAAGCTGCACCAAGCCTGCCTGAGGGTGGGAAATGGCACCTGGCCCACTTGAGCCCCAGCGGCAAGGTGATGAAAGTGGCATCCAGCCAACTGGTGAAGGCAGGCTATTTCCCCCTTCCTCCTCTCTTTGGGAGGCTGGGATGGGGCAGGCAGACTGCATCTTCCTCTCTTCCTCCTGCTCCTCTTGGCGGAATGGGGCCAGGGTGGATGGGGAGAGGGGCCCTTTCCAGCATGTTTCATTCCCAGTCTGCTTCTGCTCAGCCATCCCCCCCCCAAACACACACGGATAAAATGGAGGAGAAATATGTAATTTGCGTTTGTGGAGAAAAGTGGTAAAGAAATGAATAAGTAACAAATACAGCTAAAAATGGGGGGGGGGCAAAGGAAGCCAAGAGGAGCAGGGGAAGAGGATATACTGTAGGGGAAAAGATAAAGAGGAAAGCAGGCAAGTCCTTTTAGGCTGCCCACTATGCAACTGGGCCATCATTTCCCTGGGTAGGGAAGGAAGGAAAACCGAAGATCGGAGGCAGATAAAGGTAAGTTAGCTGGTGAGTGGAAGGAGAGGAGGAGGCAAGAAAAGGGGTGAGACTGTGGGGAAAGGAAAAAGCGGGGGAGGGCAAACAGAGAGTCCTTGCAGCTTTCCAATTGTCAATATATCTAATTCTCAACCCAGCCAAATCTGGAGACTGGCATAGTGAATGGACATTTTTAAAAAATATATGTTTATTAAAAGTTTTTCATACCTATATAAATAGAACAAGAAGGAATATAAACAGTAGAAAAAGAAAGTGGAGAAACAAGACAGATCTTTCTACAAACCCAACGAACCCCTAGGTTTGCAGAAAAATAGAAAATCTTTAAAACAAAAACATGGAAGGGGTTAAAATAAACCCCAAAATGATTAAAGGAGTGCTTGTAGCTTTAAGAATTGGATGCCCTCAGTGGCTGTTGCTAAGCAACCGCAACAGAATTGCCAGCTTGGTTTCTATCAGTGGTCCAATCTGCACTGGTCTTTCTGGCCACTGTGATGCCAATCACACACCTTTTCGCAAATTTCTGTCTGCATCTCATCTCACATCTGTGCTCCTATTGTTTTGCCTCGGCATCGGCTGTCTGCATCATCTTATTGCTCTCTAGTAGCAACTCGGAGGTTACTACGGAGTCTCACTGCGTTATCTGGTCCAATTGAAGGTTAAATAAATAAATAAATAAATAAATAAATAGCTCCTCCCCACCCTCAAGCCACTGTGAGCGATAAGCAGGCAACAGGAGCTAACCCCCCCCCCAATCTGTTTAAAAACAGCCAGGGAACAGTTTTCTGCAATCATATTTTTTTGCTCGTGGGTTAGACCACCCCTGAACCATTATTTCCTGGGGCAGTCCCCAGAACACCCCCCCTGGCAACTGCCGGCTGTTTCGTGTTTTTTGCTCAGCTCATTCACTTTCCAGCTCCCCTCAGGGGGCCCCCTGCCTCCCCCTCCGCCAGGTCACCCCCCCTTTACGCTCTGTGGGGGGGGGTTGCGGGTGCCATTTTCTCCCCGCAGTTCAGTGCCCTGCTGGCACCCCAGGAGGCCTCCCCCTCTCTCTCGCGCTCTCCCTCCCTCCCACGCTCCCCATGGTGAGGTCTGATGCAGACAGCTAGCTTTTATCCCAAGCCAAAATGGGAGGCAAGATGGAACCATATGCAAGGGTGCCACAGCAGACTGAAACCGCATTACGCAGCAGATGCAGATTCAGCCAGGGAAAGGCAGAAGCAGATGCAGATTCAGCCAGGGAAAGGCAGAGCCTCTTTGGCTTTGAAACGGAGATGAGCACCGCAACCCTAGAGTCGGATTCAACTGGCTTTCGAGCAAGGGAACCTTTACCTTTATGCTGCATTCATGAGGATGTCTTGGCAGTCGTCTCCTCCTGACTCTGCCACAAGCTTCTCCCCACCCCGTGCACTCTTCAGACTCTCGGGCCAGTTTTCTGCCATTCTCCTCCTCCTCCTTTCTTGCTGGGCTTCAGTGTCATTCCTTTGCTATTGCAGCTCCTCACCCTCCAAGGATCTGGAACGGGAGTCCAGGAATGGCAGGCAGGTTGCCCTGGCCGAGGACTAACATGCCTGCCATTGAACAGACAACAGACCCTCCGGTTCTTGGATTACGGGATGCAAGTCTAGGGAGGGCTGAACTCAGAGGCCAGAGTTCTACCATGTTATGTATTGAGCCTGAACTGAACTTGCAAAAGGACTTCACTTGAGGGTGCATAACGATAGCTTGCTAGGATCCTAGAATGGACCAATAGGGTGACAGGGATCCTAGAGTTACCCAACTGGGAAACAATGTTGTGTAGATGGCCTATTGTGGGAGTGGGGTGTGTTTTGGGTGTAACCTTTTTCAGGCACAAATACCCAGCTTTGGCCAGGGGTTTCTCAGTCTTCTTTCTCTTGCTGAATCACTAATAAACTATGAGCTGATCACTTGAATGCATCTGAACCCAGTACATTTCATTTGTTGTTGTTCAGTCACACAGTCGAGGCCGACTCTTTGCGACCCCATGGACCAGATCCCGCCAGGCCCTCCTGTCTTCCACCATCCTCTGAAGTTGGCTCAATTTCATGTTCGTTGCATCGATGACACTGTCTAACCATCTCATCCTTTGCCGTCCCCGTCTTCTTTGACCTTCAATCTTTCCCAGCATCAGGGTCTTCTCCAGGGAGTGCTCCCTTCTCATTTGGTGGCCAAAGTATTTGAGCTTCAGTTTCATTATCTGGCCTTCCAGGGAACAGTCAGGGTTGATTTCTTTTAGGATTGACTGATTTGATCTTCTTGCAGTTCAAGGGACTCTCAAGAGTCTTCTCCAGCACCATAGTTCAAAAGAATCTATTCTTCGGCGCTCAGCCTTCCTTATAGTCGAACTCTCATAGCCATACATGACTACTGGGAATACCATCTCTTGTCAATGAAGCCAGCTGTCCAAGCCCAGTTCCCCTTGGCTGGAGGCACACATGTGGCACATGCACAACAGCAGAGGGTTTCCCATGTCTGGCCTAAAGGAACAAGGCCTGTAAGCATGCCTTGAATCTCACCAAATTTCCCAGTAGTCCCAAACAGAGAGAGAATTTGACCCATTCCAAGAAGGTGAAAGCCACCATTTTGTTTTAGATGGCTTTTATAACTTTTTGAGACCCCTTTAGTGCCAGTGCCAGGAGAGAAGCAGAGTATGGCTGCGCCACATGCATCTCTCACGGATGCGAAGGAGACAGCAGGAACCCGCAGAGCCCCAGGCAGCTGCAGGCCTGACTCTGTGAGGGAGGCCGTCTGGTGCCCCTCCTCCTTTGGGACGCGGCCTCTGCCTGCCTGTGTCCGACAAAGGAGAGAAAAGGAAGAGATGAGTCAAGCGGAATTCAAGCCAGCTTTGTCAGAAATCTGGGCAGCTTCTCTCCCAAACGAAGGGCGGGGTATTTCAAAGCAAAACAACAAAAACCAAACCTTTCCCCCTGGAGGTTTGTTAAGAGTGGCTTCGTGGAGGGACCTGCTTTGAGAAGGCTGAAGCCAGTGGGAGCCAGGTTACTTGCACCTAGAGCCAAAGGTTTGAGTTATGAGCACAGTGAGAAATATTTCAAAGTCTGCTTGTTGGCAGATGCTCACTTTTCAACAGCTGGACTTTTTAACCCTGTAATGATCAAATTCTAAGAATAAAGTGATCCTAGTGAATATGGAATTCTGCTAAGAGAGTTTATGCGAGAACACCAAATGATCACCCCATTGTATCAACTGTGCATTTCTTGGGGAAGTATATGGGGGGGGCCTTTTCCCGCCTTGGTCAGAGAGAGGCCCGTAAGAACAAACCCACCCGCAAGCGCTGCAGACGAGCCAGCGAGTGTAAACAAGCGACAGGCTACAGGAAATGGCACCGCAATGAAGTCAGAGGCTGAACATGCAACTGCCTCAAGCACATGGCAGTTCCAAGTGGGGGGGAGCGGAGTGGGAGGGCAGCTCCCCCCCCCACTGCCAAGGCAGGGGCTGTTCTGTGTCTCGGGGACAGAGAGGGCTGCTGCTGCCTCCCTCCAAAGTGGATGCACCGGGAAGGGGGGGGGTTGCTTAGGAGTCTCTTGCACTTTGTATGTTTTAAATGTGGGGTTG